TGACAACCTAGTTATACCTTTGCTGACATGTGTCAGATCTTAACTAGATTTATCATTTTTTAATCTTATTAATTTAGTTTTTTATGTTCGGTTGATTTTATACATCAATTTCTCTTTCCAAAGTGATTAGGCATACTAGTTTAAGTACATCAACAAAGATGATCTGGGATTAATTTAGCCTAATCCTTGATATAAAAATTTTCTTGTTGTTGCTGGACTAAGGGACTGTTTTTCTTAAACAACAAATTCAAAAGATTCAAGGGTTATGTATTTGTTTTGTGATTTGGTGTAAACTTCTTCAATTCTCTTTTAATCGTAATATACTTCATTAATTTTATGAAGTATCTTAAGTATCTTTAGAAATTATAAATAATTCATGTTGCAATTAGAAGGAAACAATAAAAGTTTATACTGATTAGATAGTGCAAGTACTTAAGTCTAACTTTTTGCTTGACATTAATCACTAAAATGTTCAACAATAAACTTATACCATGTTTTTTTTTTCTTACTGTATAATTAATATTCCCATCATTCTTTTTTAAGTTGTAGCATTTGAAAAGATGCAAAGCTTTATTCATAATTATTCATTAAATCTCTGAAGAACAAAAACAAGACAAATATTAAGTGACAGCTAAAGTAAAATATCAGCATTACTTATAAGAAATACTTTAAAGACAACAAACTTGACTGAACAAACACTTTAACATGCTAGTACGGAGTACATTCAGTCATTCAGCATTATCTTTTAGATAATATGTTCATCAAAAGACATGATTTAACATGTAGATGTAGAAGCAAACTGATGGTGAAAGGCTTTGAAAAGAAAAGGCCAACCAACTCTTGAAGAATTCTGACCAACCAAGTTACCTTTGCTTGATTCATGGCTCTAACTCAATCTAAGTCTATGATTTGGCACTAATAGAGTGATACTAGAGACAAAATAGTAGTCCATATGAATATGATTGACCTTCTAAAATAGAACATGAAGCTCAATCAAAATCGAAGAAACACACGGATAAGGTCAATTAAGATGCAAGTGCATCTAAAGCTAAGGTGCTATATACATTGGCTCAAAGTTTACACCTTAAATATAAGTTAGTATAACTTGAATTTTGCGGGTTATTGCTTCTGTTTGGGTTCAGTTATCGTTAACTAGATTAAATATTGAGTATATTATAACATGATTATTATTTTCGAATAACACTAATCAAGGTCGTCATCAATTTCATAAAACTATAAAACCAATACATCTTTTTTTAAATGAGAAAAATTGTTCCAATTGTAGTAAGGTATAAAATCTATAGATACATGAATCTCTCTTACATAAAAACCAAACTTTATACCGAAAACAAACATTTACCAAATTATTCATCATAGATATCAATATGTGTAATAAAGTCATACTACCACAGTACCACATCATCCTAATTATTTGATATTAGATATATCCTACTATTGAAAACCAAATATAAAATTACGGAGAATACAATTAACACATAACAACATTTAAATCAAAATTTAACTTCTCTTTCTATCTGAAATTAATAATCACGTTGATAATGTACTCAAAAAAACCAGTGACATGATGATCGATATCTAAATCCGAACTAGAGCAATAACTCACAAGATTCAAACTAAGAGTAAATTTGGAATCTTCCAAGATGACTAGGGAAGCTTTTAAGACCCCATATATGATATGTCCCATGTTTCATAAATGAATGAATTATGAATGTAGTTTTTATTTTTTTTTATGCACAATTATGAATGTATTTGTAATCTCCCGCTATTAAGGCCAAAATTGTCAAAAAAACCAAATTATCCATCCCACTTCTACCTCCACCTCCCTCCACCTTTGATGGATCCTCCTCTGCTTTCGCTGTAAAAATTAATAATTCAATTTCTCTTTCTTTGATTCCAAACCCTAGATTTCTGTCTCCTTCCTAAGACCCCCTTTGTCTTAACTTTCTCTCTCCTCTCTTCTTCATCTCCAATCTCAAATTCATCACTCTCAAAAACAAGAAAAAGAGGAGGTCATAAGAGCAAAACTTATTCAAATCAATCCCAAATGTTACCAAACATCGATTTATCACCTTGATTGATTTCCCAACCAATTTTTTGAGATAATTTTGTGGGTTTTTTTTTGGTAATTTCATTGGTTTCCCACGTAAATTAAGCTATATTTTTTTTTTTGTGGGTTTTGATTTGATTAATTGATTGATTACCCACTAAAATTCCCCTGATTTTCTTGGTGGGTTTTCAATTTTTTGATCAATTAATCACAAATTTGATCTGGGGTTTTTTATTTTTTGAGGAAAATTCCAATGATTTCAGACCCAGATCTCGTACGCTACGCTTGCGTAGCTCATCATCGTTCTTTAGATTCATCAACGATTTTGGGCGAGTTCAACTCAGCTGACTCGGCGCTTCAACAACTCGCTCATCAATGTCTTCACTCTGTTCCACCACATCACAGCATTTTTTCTCACTCATATCGAAATCAAGCTTATACCTTTTTGCTAAATGATGGGTTTGTTTATTTTGGGATATTTGATTCAAAATTGAGAAAATCTGATCAAATTCAATTCTTGGGTTGTTTGAAGGAAACTTTTCATCATATAATCAATGGAAAATCAGATATCAAGTTTTCAAATTTTTGCCTTCAAGGTGAGCTTCACCCAATTTTCCATAAATTGTTGTCAAATAGTTGTGATTTTGATGCATTGCAATTAATCCCTAATGGTGTTCATAACAACAATAACTCGAAACCGGTTTCGAGTAAGAACAAGAAGATTTTGTCTGTGTCATTGTTGTCTGCCTCCAAGATATGTAAAGGAGTGAAGAAGAATAAGTTGTTTGATGAGAGAACAAATAGTGGTGAACCTTTGGTTGATGATAAAGTTGATTTGTTAAATGAGGGTAATTTTGATGTTAGTGAGGTTAAAAATAGGGAAATTAATACCCCAAATGGTAATTTTTTGATGGATGGTGGTGTTGGTGTTGGTGTTGGAAGGCATAAAGCTAAGAAAATATGGAGAAGACATGTTTGGATTGTGTTAGTATTGGATTTGGCTGTTTGTTTGATTTTATTTGGGATTTGGTTGTTTGTTTGCCAAGGGTTTCAATGCATTGAAGGGTAGTAAAATCCATCTGAATTTTCGGTATTCGATTTCGACAAGCTTGTTCATCATCTTGGATGTGTTCTTTTTTTTGAAATTCAAGGTCATTTGGTTGATCTTGGATTTTGTGGATTTGATGTTGAAGACTAGCATCATGAAGTGTTTTACATTTGATCTTGCTGTACCATCAAGTTAACTCAGTTTTATGTCCAATAGAGTAGGAATTACTTTGGTGTGTAATTCAAAAAGTGGGGGATGATTTCATGTTTTTGAGCTTATTTGGTCTTAGCTAATATGATAATTTGGGGTTAATATTTAGTAACCCTTTAATTTGTATTAGTTGAGGATCAATTAGCTTTTGTTATGCATAATACATCCCCTTGATAAATCTGTTTTAATGTAATTCTTTGAAACTGTGTATAGGAGGAAACCATCAATATGTTACTTGTGCAGGCTGTTTCAAATTTTAATGGATAGGATTATAACCTTTCATCTTGTTTCAAGTATGTTCTTTTACTTCTGATTCATTGAATCATGGCTAATTTTTTGGTTTGTGTTTGATGATGATGTATACTTTGGTTGAGCAATCATTTTCTTTCCATGGTCCCTAGTCTTTCACCAACTTGTTTTTAAACATTTGTATGCCCCTTCTCTGATTGTAATCTAAAAAAGTACTATTTACAATTATTTTATTTTTTAAGGATAAATTGATAGGTTATAGTTGTAATGTAGGAGCTTCTAATATTCAAATTTCAAAATTGTTAAATATGGTAGCTTCACAAAAAAAATAAAAAAAAGATGGCATCACCCTTGCATTTAGGCGGGAAAAAATTTATTATGTGAGTGACATGTGGACAGTGATGACGTCAACAACGTTTTGTTTTAGTAATAGTTAATAGATTGCAATATTTAGGCTTTTCGCTATCGTACATTTTTGCCACTCATGGCCTTGTTTGGCAAATGGGTGTTGGCGGTTGGCTGGTTCACTTGGTTTGTTTGACAATCTGGAATGTTTGGTTGTTTATAATAGCTTTTGAAATTTGCTGTTTAAGCTGACTATTTTGTGTGGTAAATTAAGTTATTGGCTGTTTATTAGATAATTTGTGGACCAACAAAAAAAACTACTTATAGCAGCTTTTTCATTTTGGCTTAAAGCCAGCTTTTTCGCTAACTGAATATCCAATTACCAAACACTTTTTTTTGGCTGTTTGACCACATAAGAAAGCCAAAAACCAAAAGCTAACCAAAAAGCCATTTACCAAACATGGCCATGTTGTATATTAAGCTGTTGCAATACATTGAAGCTCATAGCACCAATATTTCTCAAATATGGTGGGGGCAATTCATATTCACGAAACAACATTATCATTAGGGTACCAATGAACAATGATTCATAGTTGCTTACTTTAAAAATTCTAATACTAAAGCAAGAAGCAACAGCTACCAATTTCTTAACATGTGTTTATTCTATGCAAAATGCTTTTTGGAAAGATGACAAAGCTAAGGGAAATTCAACCTTAATCATGATTAAGAACGCATTAAATTGATCATTTAACTTGCTAATCTAGGTAATTAGTTACAGATTAATCCTGCTGGAATCCTCGTAATCCTAGCTCATAATAGTAATAAACAAAGAAAAAAACATTATCTTGTGTCTTCATATAGCGCCCATAACATTGATCAACCATCAGAATGAGAGGGCAATGCTTAAACAAATCTACATAGCATGTTCTCTACAGATCCAATCTGAATTTTTAAAGGCGCGATTTTCAAGAAAAAATCAAAGTACAGCTATCAAAGATAGCCTCCCGGCCCTCCCCGTCTAAAAATCCTTGCAAGTTTACACAATTTCGTATTAAACATTTGTATATTTATGCAACAAAATTCCGAAAATCAGATTAGTAACTCAAATGCTCGGGTATGTAACACATACAAACGTGAAACGTGTATAAAAGTATAAAATTGTGATCTACAAATACAGCCACACAATTATACTACATCAAGGTGTTGTTAACAACAAGCAACCTCATTTTGTGAAGAAAAAAAAAAGAAAATTAACCTGCAACCTCCTAACATTGTATATTTGGGTTCTCAATAAATAGTAAGGTAAATGATATGTTTAACCACAGGGAGTGAGCTTGCTGTTTCCTGCACCGCGAGGATTATCATCTTTCCAGTCGTCAAATGCTCTGGCTCTCTCCACTGCGGCATCATCATCTTCATCCTCCTCGGGAGGGCCTGGTTTAATAGGATCATTGAACCATGAGGAATTCGCTTCCTCTATGTACTTCTTAGTTCTCTCCTGCCATGTATTCATGATGTCCATTTCCGTCTCACCAGCTTCTTCTATACTCATGGTTGGTAACCTAAGAAGCAAAAGATTAATGCATGTAAATTCTTCATTGCAACAAGTTATGGTGTAATGAGCTGAACTAACATGATAAGATGAGGAGCTTGTTTCCTTTTTAAATTGTCAAAAACTTATTCTAGATTCTATGCACAGTGATGTGACTACTGATTTCAATGACCGTGCATCCAAATTTTATGTTCAAATCAGCTAAAATAATAAAGAAGAATCCCTGAAAAGGAATTGATCAACCATCCCCCCCCCCCCCCAACCAACCAAACCCGCTCAATCCGGAAGACAAAGCCGAGCTAAACTCCAAGCCAGGGTTTAAATAGTTGCCTGCGGTCAGACTCTTAAGGACTGGTGAATCTTAAAGCTGAATAAAAGACTGAAATTGAGCTCAGCAGCCTAACCCTGGCGAGTCCAGGCTCAGCTTTTGAACATCCCTCACCAAATAGACAGTTCCTCAATACTCGCTGAGACAAAGACTACTCACCCTTCCAAAATGCAGGGAGTGACGAGTAAAATTGAATGAATTAATTGCTTCTCTATAGTGCCTATCCTTCTAGACTGTGACACTACTATATTAGATTTTCTTTAGGCATTCCATTCTTAAAAATCATGACATTCATTACTGAACAGGAGCCTGCCTTCCCTCTCATGATGATACACATTACACAGTCCCCACACCAAGCCCAATTAGAAGAGAAAATAATATTCAGAAAAAGCAACAGACCCAACAGTATCTGAACAACCAAAAATTTTCTGCAAATTGAAATGCTTTTCATATTCAAGGAGTCTTGATGTACCTGTGGCCAGGTTGGAAGACCTGTGCTGCCATTCTTTCTCTCTCGGTTGTAAGATTTCTGCCGGTGAGACTAGCTGGTCCAAATATGAGGGGTTGATGTTTGTGTTCATGTGCCTGTGAAACAGTTGCTCTCCCTTCAAGAACATCTTGTGCAAAGGTAGCACATGTTATCGGTGGTGCTGGTTTTGTGTACTGAGCTCGGGTGGCAGAATCACGATGCCACCCTTCTACCTTACTTTTCCGTTCATCTAATAGAGACTCGGTGAATTCCTTACCCACGTCCTGCAAAGATAAGCAGGAGCTCAACAATAGATGTATATATATCCCCACAACTACAGAGGCTGGTGTCACAGCAAAGGTATCAAAATATTAAATAAAAACCTGTATCTGTCTCTCCACAGCAGAAAGCATCTCTTCCTCTTTCTTCAGCATTTCTAGCAAATCCAAAGCCTACATAGAAGTAAAGCAACAAGTGAACAAGGCTACTTATAAAAAAGAGAGAAAACAATAAAGGTGTTTTTGCAATTATGATATGTCAAATTTTGCTAAGATACCTTGCAAATTGCCAAAGAGATAGTGGTAAGCCAAGCCTGCAATGACAAACACATACATTAAAAAAAGATATCATCGATAAAGGATCTTTTGGGATGTGAAACTTGCAATACTCTATATTTTGCTTAAACATTAACCTCATTTTGCAAATAAGACATCCAGATTAAATTATGATACACACATTGTTACAAATACGGAGTACAAATGGGTCTGCTGGTGATCATGGTGGTGATGGGTCTGCTGGTGTTGCAGAGAACAAAATAAAGAAGTAAATTGTGTATAAGAAGTATAAAAGAAAAATTAACCTCCCTCTCTTCCTCCCCATCATCATCCAACACATCTTCCTCTCCTGCTTCAACTGGTGTAGATAAAGCTGAAGCTCTTGTTGAACGTCCACGTCGTTCCCTACGCTCTTTGATCTCTAGTAGCTTAGACTCAGCAGCCTTTTGTCGTTTAAAACGAGCAATCTAGATTGATTCCATACAGGAAAACATCAATGCCAAAATTTAAAAGAAATCTATATTGATATTGTTCAAGCATAAATCAACATGTCAAGGTAAACTAAAAATAATGATCAAAGCAAATATTCTATATGGTATCACTTAGACCAACCTTTTTGGCCCTTTTATCAGCAAAAGTATTATAACTGCCTTGCTTGGAAGATTCCGACTCTTCTTCAGGTAAGAGCTCCATGGCTTCACAAAATGTAACAAATTCCTAAAAAGAGAACAATCATATTAAGACACTCCAAACTATAAGATTATGGTGAATGAAACACAACTTTGAACAGATGAACTATAATAAAATGAACCAACTCTATTCATGTACTAATAATGACAGCAAAAACATTTTCTAGAGTATTAAACTTAACAATTTTCTAGAGTATAAAAACAATCAATTGTGTAAAATTGTAACCCACTTTGGTTCTCGATCCATTGATGCATGAACAGTAACATAATCCGATAAAAAAAAAGGGAACAGAAAAATATACTTAAGTTGCAAAGTAACCTTTGCATGAACAGCAACATAATCCTATCAGATATAAGGAACGGAAAAATATGCTTGAATTGTAACATGAATCTTTCTTGATACCTTTTTGGTTAGTTATAAACTTAAATTATTTACAAGAAACATAAAAACAAAATACAGGCACATTTTGATAGACAACCTTATTCAAAAGGAAACCAATTTGAATGTAGTATCTAATTCAATTTGAAGAATGTAATTTTCTTTTGTACCATTGCTAGTACAATTACTAAATAGTTGTCTTCTTAGTATTAATAAAGCTCACTACTTCTTGGAATTAGATAAAAGTACCTTCAGCTTTGCTTGTGAAGCCTTAAGAATTTGTACCCTATCTTCCTGTGAAACTTTTTCTGTCAGCTCACCTAAGTAGTATGGAACCTGTAAAGTCAAATGAATAAGAAATGTCAATTACTCTGGTGTCAACTGATCAACACTACAGGAGCAAGCATTAACTAAGTCATTTATCCAGCCGAAAACAAATGCCTCCAAGCAAATCAGTGGGCCAGTAGCTGAGCACAAATTTCAATTGTTTAAAAAATACATCCAGATCAGTTGTCATTCATCAATTTAATTAATATTGATAATTCGTTATCTTCTACTGTCTGCTTATTGTAGCACAAAGTTCATACTACTACGGAGTAACATATTTGACCCGAACGAACTTACTAGGCCCAAAACTCGACAGAACCCAAACATACCGGACCTAATTTGATATTGATTGACACATCATAATAAGCTAGTTGGAGATAGACCCAAAGATAACTCAGGCCAACCTTATCATCACCTAAATCAATCCCAGTCCAAATGAACAGAATGTACTTCTAAGGCTCTAGCTAAAAGATCTTTCTTTCTACCAGGTGACACATATACATAAATCATACTTGAAACATGCTACAGAGAAATATGTAGACAGGCTAGATTCAATGGAAAGAACGCATGGGAATTGACTAGAGGACCTTTAGAGTAACAATTTACCCCCTCTCTACCTTCTGATGACCACTTTAATGGAAAATTCTACCTACAAACAGATACACACATAGTAGCACTCTCTCCACATTGTATGCCACCAACACAAAATGACATGAACTTAATGAATACACCACGATAGAAGAATAGCATGGGATAGTGTAGAGTATATGTTACAGACTTACTATACTTAAACATGGCAACAAATGTAAATTAGCTGAAACAAAACTGGTGAAATCTACAAGGAACCGAAGATGGGAGTATGACCAATGAAAAAATTTCTTCCAAAAATCCAAGTCACTAGGAATGTATTACTGCTACTACATAAAGATTTAAGAAAGGGCAAAAAAAAGGCACTTTAATTTACTAGCATCTACAAGCTTTTAAACTCCTACATTTAAAAGATAACCGACCAATAGCCCATAAGTCTATAAAATCTTGTAGTGATGCAATTTGATACTACTTGATTGACTTACCTAGGGGTAGTGACTATAGATAATTGACTAGTGAGCCACATCTTACAAGGAGGCTAATGGATCATAGGCCAGAAGCACAAAATTGCCACCTTTTCGGTTTACTCATTTGACTTTCGTTACTCGATTTTTCTACCACCACAAATTCCTTGTCATTTCATTTCATGCCATTTTGTTTTTTTATTTTACATCACATAAATCTCTTCCCCTTTTTTTTTTTTTTTTCAAAATTTGCTATTGGTTCCAATCCCCATTTTATGTATGAGGGTTCACTCTATGCTTTTTTGTAGCACTGTTGTTTAAATATACAAACTATGATTATAAAATACGAGTATAAAAAAAAATAAAAAAAATATACACCACAAATGAGCTAGCTAAATCGCCAAAATCAAACAGTCAGATGAACACCAAATTAATTAATTAAATAAATAAGAATTACCAGAATATACTTGAGATTAGCAGTGCTAATATCCTCTTTAGTTTCATTAGTCGAAAACAATCCCAATCTACTAATCATATCCTCGCATTTCTCCAACATTTCACATCCCTTTCGTATACTCTCCTGAAAATCAACCCTAACATCAATTAAACTCCACATTAACAACAACAAAAAAAAATAACAAATTAAGGTTAATCAAAAACAAATAGCAGAAAAATATAAATCAAACAAAAAAAAATTACCTGATCAACGGTTGAATCAGAAGCCAGCTGATGAATCTTACGAGCTTGATCGAATAGAGACGGTAACGTCATCTCAGAAATATTCAATTCCCCCATTTCTGAACTGAGGAGAGAGAAAGCGCGCGAAAATCAGGTCGAGATTTAAGAAATTAGGGTTTTTTCCAGGTGATTTAGGGAGGTAATTGGGGATGAAGTTCTAGAGAGTAAAAGAACTGGAATTATTTTGGAGGAGAGAGAAAATTGGTGGAAAGGGCTAGAATCCTATACATCACGTCGTATGATAGAGGTAACTGCTCTCTGATTATAGGCCTCATGATCGGGTTTTGCTTAATGGGCTCGAATCCGTAATGTTTGGGCCTCATAATTTGTGTTAGTGTGGATAGAGCCCACGAGAGTAATGAGGTATTCCGTCTAATGACTAATGAGTATCTACTCCATGCCTTTTTAAAAGGTTTTACTTTCTCTATTTTGTTTTTTATTTATTTATCACGAGTGATTTTACGCTTGTCAATGCATGTATTTTCTTATAGCGTCAAAAAAAATTATACGAATAGTGTAAAAGTTCTTATGGTGAAATAAAAGAAAATTGTAGAAAGTATATTACATAGTATGTTTTACTTGTTGATAACATTTGACACCTCAAGATAATTGCCATCTCAAAACTTAAAGCACAATTAAAAATAAGTAAATTGTATTTATGAATGTGTAACAAGTTTATAATTGAACTAAAATATCAACTTGGTGGAAAAAGATAAGAAAAAGAAAAGAAAGAAACTAGTAATTAGTCTACAAAGGTCCTCCGATGAACGGTCTAACGAAGCCTAACAAGAGCAAAGCCAAGCTGATCCCTTTGATTATCGTGATTAACATACCTGAATGACCACAATTGATACTTTTGACCAACCCTAATTTTATTCCTATTCACCACTTCTGTTCAATCCTTAGTGAGAGCATAATACACTTTCCAATATTTGAATTTCATATTGTTGTTAACAATATGCTTATTCTCTCCCGTGTCGCCGCATCTCACTAGTGTCGGCTCAATCAATATTACGTCCATACTCCATCTTATAGGCCGATCCAATTTATCTATACCCCGGATTTCCTTCAAGCACGCCTTCTCATGTTCGTGTAGAAAATCCTTGGATATAATTGCTTTGAATGGAATGCTTAGCCTTAACTGGTTTGGAGCTATATCACTGTCATAAATATATTTTTCTAACACTAGTTTCAAGCATGATCCTCCTCGTTTAGTTATTTCTCTCATGAATGACGATGGTGGTAACTTGTCACATTGCAAATTTGATCGTGGCAACGACAACGACAACGACGATGAAGCTGATGATGAGGATGATCCTATTTCTTCATAAACCTTTGTTTTGTCATCATTATTATGTTGCAACTTTCCCTCGGAAGAAAGCTTTGCCAATTCATGGAATATGATATCTTGCAACATTGAGTGTTTTTTTGTACCTAATGAATTATTGTTGGTGTGATTAGATCCCAATAACTTGTTTTGAGAATTTTGCATAATTTTCTTCTTCTTGAAGATGTCTCTTCTGATGATAGCCAACAGTTCAGCACGTGATTTCGTTTTCGAGAGCTTTTTTAATTCATCGGCATATAAATCCCATTCATGCATTACATTTAGGGCAGAATTTCTTGTTGCAAGTGTAAGATAACTTGCTTTATGATCTACAAAAAGAAAAAAAAACAAATTAATTATAATTATAATTATGACTTATGTTAAACAAATTTCATTACAAACTAAAAAAAAAAAAATTTGCATCAGATCAAGGCCGTCAACTAAGTAACACTCAAAGTCTCAAACCCTTGCCAAAAATCGAAAAAATAAAGGCGACGTATTTATTTGAAAGAAATTTAGGGCTTTATTTATTTATGTTGATCCTTTAAAAATTTATTTTTACACTTTTCTCCACAATATTGAATATTAGAAACAAACAAAAAAAAAAATATCAGCAAATCAGTTTTCTAATGACGAGAAGTTTTGTGATTATAACATAAAATTACCCATAATATATATATATATAGTCATTATCAAGCTCTTCATATTTGTAAAATAAAAACAAAAAAGTAGCATTATTAAACTTTGGAAGCAAATCTAAATAAACGTAAAATCATTCTACCCATACTATCCAAATGATAAAAAAAAATAATAAAAAAAAAACTTTAATTTTGGACTTCTAAATTTTCAAATAGCGGCCATAGGAAAAACCCATCTACTCTTGTAGTAAATGACTATGAATTATATATCTTAAACTTGATTAAATTATTACTTAAATTTGATTAAATTCCTATATATATTCGAAAGTTGAAGTATGTTTACCTTCTTCCATTGTACATTCCTCCATAGTATTAGTACTCGAAATCCTTTTGGTTTCGGCAATCAAACTCGTATTGATTACCATGTTTATTTTCCTCTCTTTTAGTTTAATGCTCAGAACAACCATTGTTTCTTCAATTTTGTAAATTGAATGATTGAGCAGATATTTATAAGCGAGCTAAGTGAACTCGATAAAGAAGTTCCCTAAAATATGATATTTTTTTCCCCTAAAATATGATTAGATATCAGGAATATGATCTAAGCTAAGAGTTCTTCTTAGACTCAAACTATGTTTCCTTAAATTGATCCTTGTTGAAATAAGATGATAATTTTTTGGACACTTTATTTTTGTTAAATACAGTTGTTTACTTGGAGACTTGACTTTCCTGGTAAAGTACAAAGTACTAATCTGAATATTAGTAGAATTTTATCATACGTATAATTGCAAGATAAAATTAGGGGAAAAATAAAAAACAGGAGAGAATTTAGATTTTATTCTGGTGTACATAAAAAAATAGTCTTTGTCAAAAACAAAAAAAATGGTAAGGCCCAACAAATTTCAGAGGGTAGCATTATTCCAAAAAAAAATAAAATATAAATAATAATTCAGAGGGTAGCAAATCAAATTTGACTAAACATACACGTGGCACTTATCCATTAAAAAAAACGTGGATTTTCATCAGAAAGTTCCAAATTAGGGTACACCGTCCCACACCTAATAAAAACCCTTTCCTTATCCTACGTGGAGTAGTGTTTATAAATACCATATATTTCCCCCTTTTTCTTCGCCAATTTATTTCTGGAAAACAAAATTTATCTTTATTTTTTTGAACAAAATTTCATCTTTATTTAATCCAAAAAAAAAAAAAAAAAAAAAATCTATCTACTACACCAAAACGATGCCGTATTGCAATGTTTCTGGTGGGCAACCGGACGGCGCCGGGAAAAATGGGGCCCGAATTTTTTATCGAACGTACGGGAGTGGACCCGTAAAAGTTCTTCTTATAATTGGTAATTTAATTTGATGATAATAAGTTTTTTTTTTTTTTTTGATGAATTTGAGATGGGTTTTTGTTTAATTTTTCTGGGTATTTGTTGAATTTTGATGATTTTGGATGATCAGGTTTAGCTGGAACACATGATTCATGGGGTCCTCAAATCAAAGCGTTGGCAGGGACTGATGTACCCTGTGATGAGAAATCAACCGTGGATGATGAGGGTGTAGGGAATGGGAGTATGGAGGTTTGTGCATTTGATAATCGGGGAATGGGTCGGAGCTTTGCTCCTATCAAAAGATCCGAGTATACGTAAGTTTTATATTCATACTTATTGTTTTATTTTTGGTGAAAATGGGAATTATTTTTATTTATTGAATTCTGAATTTTGATGTTTTATTAGTGTGTGGAATAGTTGAATTGTTTTGAATTATGATATGATCACAAATTGTGAAATTATGCTTTGTTCTGACCTTTTCTTTGTCAGATTCCCTTAACTTAATTAAAGAAGCATGAATCATGTGAACTTTTATACATACTTGTATATGTTAATGAATTGTTTATTACTATTGACAATTTTCTTAATTAATGTAATTAGGCGTGAAGTCTGATTAATTTAGACGGGTTTCGATTCTAGTACAATAGATACTTTACCAGCTGAATGCTAATAATGGAAAGTCTTGATAAATTTTTACCCCTGAAGCAGTCACTGAAAAAACTTAGCTCTCGTGAAGTAGGTTGTGTAAACCCTGTTAGAACTATGGCTAGACTCCAGCTTTAATGGTTGATTGGTATGCATCAAATTGGCAAAATTGCTTGTGATTGCAAATGTGTGGCATTGTAAAATTCAGATAAAAAAATTATTTTTGTCAATCTTATTAGATACTTTGGAATATTTGGAATTATGAAAATATCTATCTGATTCCCACTTTCCCTTTTGGTATTTATATAGCATGTGATTTTTGAACTGGTAAATTTTGTGTTGACCCTTAGTTGCAACATGGGAGTTGAGACTCATACTTTTAACATCGATATGTGATGAACTAGTCAAGAAGGATTGCTATGTTGATGATTTAAGCTTATGCAAGTTGTCAAAACTTGAATGAATTTGCTGATTGTATCTACCCTAATAAAGTTGATTGTTGGGGTTTTGAAGTTTTTAATATCTTTTCATGAACTTTTCAGTCTTGCTGATGTTTGACATGGTATATTCTTTGACAAAATATTGTTTTTTCATAAACCTTTCGGCCTTGTTGATGTTTGACATTGTATTATAATTTGGAACAGAACAACGATTATGGCAAAGGATGTGATAGCTGTAATGGATCATTTGGGTTGGAAGAAAGCACATGTTTTCGGGCATTCAATGGGTGAGTTCATGACTTCCTGAGGATTGTTTATAGCCATTGAATCATAATTTTTAGCCGCTTTGACACATTTGTTTTGCTACAGGTGGTATGATAGCTTGCAAGTTATCAGCTTTAGTACCCGATAGAGTTTTATCCTTGGCTTTACTTAATGTAACTGGAGGAGGATTTCAATGTCTGCCAAAGGTATGGACTGTGGCAGTTTTCACCTTGCAAATAATTGGTTGGTTTTATACTCATGATATGCAATGGTTGTTTAATCGTTATTTTGAACATAGTTATCTTTAACAGATATCATTATTCTGTAGTATGATTTGTGTATATAGCTTTCAGTCCTGCACAAATTTTGAATGATTTTCTTCATAATGCTTCATGCTTGGGTCGTTTAAATCAGTGTGATGTGGACTGGTGTCAATTAGTTGGAGTATTATGGTCAACAATTTTATACGAATTATTTATAGTAAAAGCAAAAAAAGATTGCTTCTAGGAAGTAATGAAGTATGACTTTCTAAGCCCATGATTTCACATTGATAGCTTACCTTTGAAAGGGCGGGTCTAATTGTATAAAGGGTGAGTCTACGATTCTATCCCTACTACTCCAAGAAAACATTTGTTTGTTTAATTTATTCAAGGTTAGCTTTTTATGAAGTTTTTGCAATGCAACAATTGCTCACTAAATTGCTTGGCCTCTGTTCTGCGAAGAGGCTTTTCAAAGGATGGACAATACTTCCTGATAGGTTTATCCGCTGTGTTTAATACTTGCGTATGTGCTTCTGTTTGACTTTTATGTGTTGGAAAGCTTGGAGTATTAATAGTTCAATACACTTCTTGGTTCTAACTTAACTAGAAATTCTAAAACACACGTGGATGTATGGCCTACACCTACAAGTTTTGTCTTGGTAGAGACAGGTTGCCACCTATGCTTGATGATGAGACTGTGTATCTGAGCTTTATTCTAGAACATCATTTCTGAAATATTTATATTCTCTGGAATGCGGGTAGAATCAGATGAGACTATTTGATATACCAGACCTCCTTGTTTCTCATCTTGTACTGTGATCAGACAATAACAGCAATTAGATGTTACAGTTTTGGTAATTCTTAAAAGTGAGAACATAGGGACTAGGTGGACTGGTACAAGAAAACATTAATGTTTCTTACTCATCTATTAGAAATCTAAAGTTCTAAACAATATATGAAGTTTGACTTCATATTCTAAATGACCCTGTTGCTTCTTAATTTCAGCTTGATCGGCTAACTATATCAGTTGCGGTGCGGTTCCTGATGGCCAAGACACCAGAAGAAAGGGCTGCTGTGGACTTGGACACACATTACAGCCAGGTAAAAATATATCTCTTGTTTTTTTATGCTGCAAATTTAGATCAATGTTGTCAGCATGACAGCAAGTAAATGCTTCAGCTTCCTATCCTGTTGCATATCTGCCAATACACCTATTGTTCATAATTATGTGTAAAAGTGATGGCAAATTCTCATTAGCAAATGTATTATGGGTACAGGACTATCTTAAAGAGTGTGTTGGAGAGAGTACAAGACGAGCAATTTTATACAAGGTTAGCATTTCATAAACTATTACATATTACTATATCTATTTATGGACTTGTTTGAATGTAATGATGTGGAAGTGCTTCAGAGATGGATTGCTAAAGTTTCTGTTATCATCCTTTCTGACTCTGATGCTTTTCCAATGAATTATGTTGAGAATTGGATGTTTACGATAGAATTTGTTTTTTGCTTTTCACGTAATGCAGGAATATGTCAAAGGTATATCAAAAACTGGAATGCAGGCCAATCATGGTTTTGAAGGTCAGATCAATGCTTGTTGGACACATAAGTTGACCAGAGCAGAAATTGAACAAATTCGTTCTGCTGGTTTCCTCATCTCTGTCATTCATGGAAGACATGACATCATAGCTCAAATTAGTCACGCAAAACGACTAGCGGAGAAGTTTCATCCTTTTGCCAGAATGGTGGATTTACACGGAGGGCATCTGGTGAGCCATGAGAGGACTAACGAGGTATGGATGTTTTGTACGACATTCCAAAGCATGGGTTTTGTTTATGTCGATAACTTATAACATATGGATATGGATGCACACATGCACATCCGATGCTTTCTATGGAAGGGGGCTGGTGACTTTGCGAATTTTTTTCGCAAGTTTTCTGACATACTTATTTCTGTTTTAGGTTAACGAAGCACTTCTTGATTTAATTAGAGCATCAGAATGCAAGACAAGCGCACATGATTGGACAAATTTGCCTGATAAGACAAGCTCAGGTATGTTCTCACCAACGCTTCAAGCTCCGGAGATCTGTTTTGCTCCCTTCTCTTTTATCTTGAGGTGCTACAAGCTTTAACATTATGCTTTGTGCCCCTCTATAGGGAAGGAGCTGCTATATTCATGTATTTCCTTCCTTTTCAGATTGGATACCATTGATGATGCTGAGCACTACAAAATCAGCTACAAGAAGCAGCCTATCATCCATGTATAGAGTATTGGAAAGATTGAACGGTTACTCGATATATCTCTTCGGTGTCTTTGTGCTTCTATACGAGTATGTACGAAGAGCAGTGGGAAGATTCAAGCCCGTCAGGATAGGGGCTACTCTCACATGACCCAATATATAAGACCGTTGCTTGTCCACTTGAGAGACTCATTGGGATTGAGCCTTTACGAAAACCAACATCCGGGTGCAAATTTCTCCTCATAAGCTCAGGATTTGCTCGAACGTTGGTCGCAATTTTGATTCTGTGCAACGAAAATTTACTTGCAACGATTGCAAATATATATAGTATATAAAAAAAGGGCGGATGAGAGGAAGTGTTTTTGTCCCCTTTCCTTGCTATTGTGACTTGTGAGGCCTTGTATTACCAGCGGCCCTGTCATAAAATGAGGGGAGATCCCAGCTGATAATTGTAACATATATAATTTGATCATAATTGTGAATTGAAAAAGATTGAATAATTATATTGAACTATACTTTTATTCTTCTATTTATCTAGATGGCTATGGTATTAATCAAAAACTCGAATTCGATAACGAGTGATTGCTACTAAACCTAACGAGACCAAAGAACATAGGAGGGGCTAGTTATGCTTGCGAAAGAGCCGAAAGGCTCACATCCCCCATTTGTGGGATTCCCTATTTTCACTCTTTCCTCTTCCCTTTCATTCTTTAATACATGAATGCCTTATTACTTCATATTCGTACAAAGTAAGGAATTAATACAGGACTCTTAGTAACTGTAATTTATGTCTTACACTCCGGTGTACCTACAAATAGTTCATGTGCATGCCATATTACAAAGCTCTACCTATGTGTACGTTTGCTTAAAATTTAAATGGAATCGTTTCAACTATTATGACAGTACATATTTTTGGTTACTGCCAATGTCTAGGTGATTCAAATTGTACCTGGATTTGTAAGAGACTAGGAAATCCGTATTAGTTACTTAATAATACTCCTATTTTTAGGAAAATAAATGAATTACATAGTCGTGCAACTTGCATGAACAACATACTCTAAACATCTTTTTATATATATTTTTTTTTTTTGACGGGATCTTTTATATTCTTATTATAAGTGTGAAGTACTTGTATTACATTAACTTAAAAATGACTGATTTCAGGTTAATTTTCAAGATCAACAATAACAAATATACAAAGACATCAGTCTGTCATCAAATAAAGTTATTGCTATAAAATATATTCAAAATATAAACCATAATCAATATAAAGCTTAATAAACAAAAAAGATGTGAATGAAGTACACGATACTAAAAACTTCAGGTGAAATAGTTATATAATTTCGTTGCAAAAGCCAAAAAAATTCCAACTCAAGCAAGATGTACGAGTATCGGAGTATATGCATATTCATAAAAATGAATCAAAATATGCAGAGGATTATATCAAGCAACATGAAACATAATAAATCATGCATACGATAAAAAAAAATAAAAAAAAAAAAAAAAAAAAAAAAAGTTACCTCAAATTTTTTAATACGTTGATTCTGAGGAAGAGCTAAGTACAAGCTACAAATAGAGTTGTTATTATGAAAGTTGAAGATGAGAAATTGAGAGAAATTTCATGCAGAAGTGATTAGAATGAAGGGGAGATGGAAAGAGAGAAAACAAAACAAGGATTTGAAGGTGTCAAGTCTGTTAACATAATTTTAGGCTAAGGTATCATGGTTATTATTTTAGATGCCATTAGAATATACGGATATGCTATTTTATATGCTATGCCTTTTTTTTTCTTAAAGTATTTTTATGGTGCTACGTTTGTGTCGCTCTTTTATATGGGGATGAGGGGGCCTTAAGTTTATCTTGTATAGTTGTATGTAAACGATTCCTATATATAATTATAGGTCATTAGAATTTTAAACACATGTTAATCTTCTTTAAAAAAAAAAAATTCAATTTTTGGGCCCTTTTTCATGAAATTATTAGATTTACGATGATTGTTTCGTGTTAACGAGATAGGTGATATTCCGTACTAATTGTTGTTCTATTGATAATGTAGTCACTGTTAGTTTTTATTAAGAAACGCACAATAGATACTTAGAGTGTGCATTGGTCACGATGATGAAAAGATGACTATGTATTTTAACGCAACTCTCTAACACCACCCTACCAACTTCTAAATAAGACCAGTTGACCACAACATATATAAGCCAATAACTGACCATCTTCGGCTTGTTGACCATTCGGACTATTCTATCACCAGTTCACCACAACTTTTATTCCCTTGCAGCACCACTACCATCACCAACATCATCTTTCCAATGGAGTCAGACTAGACTCATTAGTCAACACTATTCCAAACAATCACTCTTATAGTAAACATTACCATTTACCACCAACTCACTCTTATATGGTAAATATATATGCACCTATTAAAATGTTTCGGACAAGAAATTATACATTTTATCAGTATGAATTATGAAACCATCATGTCTAGGGTCTCTGGGTCTGAGTGGTATAAGAGTATGCAGACTTGCCTCAAATCAGCATAAACAGGTAGGCAGACTGCTCCGATACTTGTACATGACAATGCTTCCACAATATAGACACTGGTCACATACTTCTAAAGAAAGAGAGTGTTTTCTGTAATCAAATACTTGTACATGATAATGCTTCCAAAATATACACTGGTCAAAGGAGCTTCTCTAGATCAGAATGAATACAGCATGATACAGCAAAGTGCAAAACCTTGGATTAACTTAGCATGATTCTATATTATCCAAAGCATCAACCACAACAGAACTACGTAGTATATGAATCAACTACAAGTACAGAAAGTTAGATGCCCCATTCCTAATTTTCAAGTGAAAAATAAACAGAACAAATGGCCAAAAGCTCATAAGACAAAGACTGTTTGCAAGTGATGGCATAAACTGGTGATCTTGAATCCTTAACATCCCAAACAATGGATACTATTTAAGCATTCAAACAGAGCCAAGTTATACGATGTTGAACTACTTTATGATCTTATCCTCAATAACAGAGAAGAAAAGACACATGATATTCATTGCAGCTCAAGATAACAAAAAAAAAAAAAAAAAAAAAAAAAAAAAAAAAGCAGATATACTGTATAGTGTATATATACAAAATTGTGTAAATTGCTCACAAAACAAATGCAAATATATGAAAGAATAAAACGAGATAGCCAGGGTTAGACTAACTGGTCACGAAAATCTATACACACTGTCTTAGTTTATAATTTTGACAGACTGCAGGAAGCTAATTCTCATCTCTGAAGAGAGTTTCAAGCAGGATTAACAACAGAAATATAAGTGCACATGTAGCAACTAGTCTCCACAAGGTACACATCCATCTTTGTACAATCATCTATTCTCTTGGATTTGCGAACAAGGCAATAGGTGATTCAAGGCTTTGAACATAATTCACTGCCTGAACTTTATTAACAAAACGATCAAGCTTCACATATTTTGGTGGATCACAGCTGAAGTCAGCAAGTACTAGGCCATCCATATTGGTGAAAATCAAAAGCTTTCCAGACTCCGTTAGTCCAAACAAATCGCGACAGTACAAACCCAATTCCAAATCCTGATCCAGATTAAATCGGAACAAATAGGTCCACGAGTCCCTCGCTCCATATTCTTTCAACATCCACAGTTCAACACTAGCATCATCATAAGATCCCAAGCGCACAAGCAATCATTCATAATGCACAATCTAAACCCTGAATCAATCTCTTCACCATCCCCCAACTCGGGATATGGCAATGGCATCAATATAAACTCGTCTTTAACCAAATCGAATGCAGCAATACATTTCCTGTCTCGGCCTACTTCAATACCCCAATGCAAAGTATCATTTACCAATGCTCCAACAATACTCCACCAGGCATTTAGAAAAGTCATTGGCAACTATGTTGCTTAAATTTCCGCGGTGTTCTCCATTCATTATCCCTTAATGAGTAAACACACACAACAATGTTTGGACGTCTAGGGTTATTTGGCAAACCAATGTTCACCAATGCCCGTATGTCTTGATTAGTTGCGGGAAGGCATATTTTGAAGGTTGTGGTCTCAAATGATTATTCATGTTGTTACTCGATTGGGGAATGAAATTTAGGTTAGGGGCTATAAAAAGGTGGTATTGTCTTAAACTTATTGTGTCATTTTACTAATCTTGTTTTTTGGTAAATTTGTAATGCATTTAGAGCTTGTGTGCTCGTAAAACATTTGTGACTAAATACTATTCATGTAGACTCGAATAACGGGATAAGGTTATTCAATACAACATATGAAGTAAAATTTGTAGCTTAAAATCGCTACTTAATTCCTTAAAAAAAAAAAAAAAAACTACTTAAAATAGTACTCATTTACTTTGTCGTACACTCGTACTTTATTCCTCCCCTTCCCTAAATGACTATCATGCGGTCACACTCACACTTATGAGCTACGGAGTATCACGGTAGTCTGTATCCATTTTATAGCTATATCCATTTTATAACTGCTCTTGTGCAACATACTCCATATCTTTTACTAGTCCTAGTAATTGACTAGAATAAATTACTGCTGTAATTCTCATTCTTCAATCTCAGCCCTTCATTGACCGGCGACCTGAGACTAGGCTGAGAGGAAGAGTAGTGAGTGTGCGGTTTTGGAGTGTTACAAAAGGAGTTGTATTTTTTGGCGTCCCCACTTTCACTCCAAACTGCTTTTCTCCCTTCAAAATCCACCCTTCTTAGTTCTTACATCTTCTTTCTTCAATCTTTAATTTTCAATTTAATTGATTTCTTCCTTTCATCTTCTCCCTTCACCCTGCATATTCAATTCAATTTCATACTAAATTAGCTGCTTCAATTTATCCTCAAACGTCGCTTCACTCAACTTTTAATTTACAATTTGATCTTGGGTTTTGCGTGGTCGTCTTCAACCCCAACAAATTTAGCCATGGAAGTACAAACCCTTTCTTCCCCATGGCAGTTCACCTGGTCAGTCTCCCTTTCTCTCTTTTTTTCATTAAGCTGATCTTACTTTTTTCTTGCTATCATGCGTAAAATCGTAAGATTCAATTTATGTTACATATTATTTCTTATACTTTTGATATTGTGTGTGTATAACAATTTATTGTGTTTTTTCAATTTTGTTAATTTTTGGGGAAGAATTTGAGCTATTTTTGAAAGTTGTGCCCCCAATTTCATGAAGTTGAATTGGGGTTTGTTATTACGTTTCTAGATTGCATAAAGATTGAAGCTTTGATAGAAGAAAGTGTTCTGTGATTAATTAAAAGGGAGAAATAGAATAAGGGCTGTCGTTTTAAAAGTGCTTCTTGTATGGAATGGACTTGAGCAACACCAATTTTGAAAGTGTTCAAGAGAAACTGGAACTAGGTCTAGGTTATTGGAGTGACAATTTAGGTCTCCACCTTCCCACAGTATGCAAAATGCTCCCTTAACTGCTTTGTAGCTAAGGTGTTGAGGGATTCTAGCCTAAAAAGATCGAAATTAAGGACCGAGATTTGTAGATTGAACTTCAAAGATATTGCAATTGTTTACACTTCGGGTTAGTGGACGACTTATTAGTAGCATGTTTCGAGCTGGGGCTCTTAGGAGTTCAAATTCTCCATCCCCTGATCGCGCCCGCTATCTGTATATGTTTATGTATGTTTTGGAGTACGAGTCTTTGTATATAGGTGCACCAATATAGTAGTTTATGAAAGATTTGTACAGTAAAGTCCATGCTATGGGCTTGATTTTTCTCTAAAGTGCATTTTGGATGTAAGTAGAATGAACCTGGTATAGCCATCTGTGGCCACTAAATGATCTTAGTGGGCATGTGGAAGTATGCATCATTGAATCCTAGAAGAAAAATAAAATTGTTAGTAGCATTAATTTGATTAATGTATGCGCTGGTGTATCAAGGCTGTTAAACCATAAAGCATTTGTGGTGTAGTCTACAAAATCAGTGCAGGAAAGCCTTTATGGCGTTGTTTAGGAAAACGGTTTAGGCATCATTAAAAAGATTCTTATGAAAAGTAATGAAAATTTTGTGACAGCTTGACAAATTCTTGCTTATTAGTTGCTGTTGAAATACTTGTGCAACAAGGTCTGTGCTTTGGGCAATGGCTTGAGTAATCAGTTCAATCAGTTTTCGAATGTTACTTAAGTTGTTTTGTGGTGTTTTAAGTCATTGCTTCAGGTTTCCACTTCGGTATGATGAAATTCATGAAATGTCATCATCCTCTTAGTTTTATAACAAGACATCAATTTGTCGACCTTTTGTGCAGTGACTTAGAAGTAAATTTTGAATCAGACGAGAAGGCTTACATTGTGTATGCAGCGCTAAATGTTGATAAAGAGGTGAGTCTTTTTGGTGCTTAAACCGTCACACAATAATTCTCAAATATTTCCTTCAATTTTTATGTTAATTCTGGTGTATCTTTCAGTTGCAACCAGATAAAGTAAAGAGGGTGATGTCAGTTTCCAATGGAAAACTTGCAGCGTAAGTTTCTTTTCTGAGTAGAAAATGAGTCTTCTTTCATCTTCTACTTGTCCTTGAAAAACCTAAAAAAGGATAATTTTTACTGGTTTCGATTTGATGATTGGGGGTTTGAAACATATTATACCCTATGTTGCTTGTTTAGTTGTGATCTCGGCCTTTCATCACTCCTACTGGCATAACATTATCAATTTATGACTGGAGCATGTGCAACTTAATTTTCATTCCTTTTTCTTTTCGTCTTTGGTCTAATGACTTGTCTGCACTTTCTCATCAATTCTTTTTCCTATCATTTTACAGGCATTTCGAAGCAGTAGAAGCTAGATTTCTTCGTGCATCATTCAGTGCTTTTGTGGATGTTCTGACTCTTGCAACGAGAACTATAGAGGAATTCAGTCCAGAGAAGGGATTATGAGACCTGGACTTGAGGTTTAGAAAGTATGATCTTATTTATCCAGACTCATGTTGCTTGAAATCTTTTTCAATCATTGATGGAATCCCCTTATACAATGAGTTGCTTTACCAGAAGTGGGCTGTCTTGAGAAGATGCTGTACTCAGCTACTTAGCGTAATTGATTCTGTATACAGGCATGCTCTCATGAAATAGCTTGTAGTTCATTCTAATTTAGTTTTATAAAAAGTTTTGTATTTTTTGATCCTTAATCTTCAGAGCCCCTTAGCTAGATATTTAATTTGAATGTAATTTTATAGCATGTACTCGGTTTTTTCTTCATCAACCTTGCTGTTGCCGTGTTAATTATTATTCTATTGAAGATGATCTTCATTTTGTTCATGGTCATGAAAATTTAGCAGATGATCTTGCAGATAAGATATGATATGATCCTTTTGATTAGTCTTAAATATTCTCCGTAATATATTACAGCTGCTGAAAGATTTTTCTTGGTTAGGAGTACTGCTCAAGACATGTAATCAATGCTCGAAGAACCTTCAAAACAAACTTCTTGGAAGTCTATGTTGACCTGGAGATGATCTTGATCATGTCGAACAACAAAAATTATATTACTGCTTCAATTTCATCATAGTTATCTATACTTTGTGGCTTTTTGCTTGCTACTGACTTCTTTTTTATAAGCATTTTCCTGATACAGCTAAGTACTAAATCGTCTATCATCTGGCAACTTATTAGTCGAGAATTCATGAATAATTAGTTCATGAATGTTCAGAGCGAATGAATATCACCATGGCAGTTTCATCGTATGTTCATCAAAGACTGGTGGATTAGCTTAAATGAATGAACAAAGAGAAATGACCCAGGAAAGAATATATGGAGTGTTCAGCTATAGAGGTAATGAAGATGTCTTTATTGCAGATGTAAACATGCTTTTGCCAGTTATGGAGTCCTTAACTCCAATGAATTTGATGTGACAGGTGGTAATTATCTCTTTTTCTTAATTATTATTAATATCGTAAAGGGTGAATGACCTTGTATTAGTACCAATAAAATTCAGTAATACGAAGTACTGTAATACATATGATACATAGCAGCTGAATGATGGCTTTAGCACATCTCACATTTTATGTGGAACAAATTACAATTACTTTCTCGTGTAAATATTAGAATAAATAATAACTGCAAAATACTGCCCATGAACCGTATTCTGGAGCTTCTTTCTGGGCAAATTCTCATAGTTTATCAGTATTCATCCAAATAAGTAAATAATGTTTCATCTTTCTTTGACTTCCGTCTGCTGAGCAATGCCTTGAGCAGACGCTTACTTTTGCTGGGGTGGCGCTCAATTTCCTTTGGCTTCTCCTTCTCATCATGAACTCGCATAGAGACTGATTTCCATGACTCTGAAAGATACTGTTCATACCATACATAGTTCCACACATTCAATTAACAAGCATTGGTTATAGTTAAAATGGATTTTAAGATGCTGGAATTTCCACAATACCATACGAATTTTGGATGCTTACCCGGTGTCTTTCAACGGCAGAATTTGGAGTTGTTGACCTACTGGATTTTGGTGTTGTTGGTCTTGAAGCAAGAGACCCAGAACGCAAAAGAGGAAACCGATGTGGTGAAACTGATCTTTTGTCTGATTATTGACAAAATTACCATAATGAGAAGAAAACAATATGAAAAACTGAAAACCCACGTCAGGAGTACCAAAAAAAAGGACGAAAAAGTAACAACATATCTAAAGTAAAGACCTTGTTCTTTTTTGGGTGTGGAGCTGGTGAAAGAGAATGATCCAGGTAACCGGGATGGTCGAGGAGCAGGCGAAGTAGAGCGTCCTCTTCTGCTTAACATGGTACTCAAAAATTTAGTCAAATGATAAAAAAAAGTACTAAGACAAATCCCATGAACAAAAAAAATTCTTGGAAGAAAGATTTACCTGATAAAGGACGATGTTTCTCTAATGGAGGATGGTGTCTCTCTAATAGAGGACGGCGTCTCTCTTAATGAGGATGGCGTCTCTCTTAATGAGGATGGTGACTCTTTTATTGTGGCTCTAATAGCTGAAATGAACAATTAAAGAGCAATAGGATGATTATCATCAGTAATAAAAAGGCAGCAACAGTTTGAACAAGAGTGAAACCTACCACTCCGGAATTGAAACCAGTCATCTTCATCTATGCCGCAACTTCTGTATTTCAAATTTGCAAGATTGCTGCTGTTCATGGTCTGACCAGCTGTTATAAATATAGCAAAGCAATATAAAAATTAGAACAACTATGTCATAGTAAGTTATGCACGAGGAAAATGTAAGGGAAAGTATTCTGAAGTTCACAATCACAGAGCAAAGAGGATCGTGTTCTTGCCTGGTAAGACATATCTTTTATGGTATTTTGGTGTATCTATAGTTGATGATTGCTGGGCCATGCCCTCCCGATCAATATACTCTTGGCATGTGCGTAATCTCTAAGACAAAGGACCATAGAAATGGAAGGGTTAGAGGCATGTTAAACTACCCCAACTACAGCAGAGAGGTTGTTCGGGTGAAAAACAGAGAAGAGATTCAAATCGCAAGCGTTTTTATTGCCTTCACCAAATCCAACGCCACAAAGATAAGTATTATTATTCGTGGGCCTTCTGCAAGTGTTCATTGACACAAAACAGGCGAACTGCTTCAAATTTTAGATGCTCACTATGCAAACATTAGGAGGGGTTTTATAATTTTATACAAGTATATGATTTCCTGCTCATCACAAGCTTTACAGTGATAAAATTTTGGAGCCAGCAGCATGCATGTGTATGATGGGAAAACAAGAAAATACCTGTTCAATGCATGACACATGAAATTCTGTCTCGGAGGCTTCTTCAACTTTTTCTTCCAAAAGATCATTTACCTTATAAGTCACTGAACCTAAATGGTCTACCGTGTTCACCAAAGCTTTAATGGCATAGTCCTTTAATGTCTCAATAACTCTGCATGATAGGGCACAATTTAGCAGAAATTAGTGAAAAACTGTCAAAAATTAGACAAAGGTTTCCTCCAAATAATCAAACTGCTAGCGCCTTACAATTGCTTTTGATCGTCATTTGTGTAAGATAGTTCAAAGTACTCTGCCGCTGAATACAGCTGAGTTCGCAAATTCTTCAAATCCTAATTACCAATAAAAAGAAAACACTAAAATGATTACAGTTATCCTACTGAACCTGGCAATGTATCTTTGAAAAAACAAAATACTTAAATCTGCAATTTCAATCCATAGTCCATAATTTCAAACCAACTAGAGAAATAAATAAAAACCACGAAACAACATTGATAAGCACAAGTGTCTGGTAGCACACAAAGCAACTTCCATTGCACAAAAATAAGCATGTACCAGGATTGAGAAGAATACCTTAAGACTGTCAGCAAAGAGTAGACTTTGATGCATAGATGTCTCATCATAGTTGGAAGTCCAATGATGTATAGGCAGAGTTGCGGCAGAGGTGAGAGTCTCCATGGAGGAGAACAATGAACTTCAGAATTCTTTATCCTGCAACAACCACCACCAATTGTTCAATCAATTGCCCAAACTAGATTACTAGTGAAGTTGAAGAAAGAGAAGGAAATTCCAAATATATAGCTCCCTTAACTCCTGTGGTCCTCCCTCCACCCCCACGATATAGGAAAAAAGAAAATAGAGAAAACATAAAATCTCTCTTGAAAACACCTTTCTCATTTTATCCTATAATTTATGTTTATAGAGAGCCACATTGTAATTCAACTTCTGCAAAGGGAAAAAAAGCTACGAGTAGAGAAAAGTCAAAAACCCATTTGTGACCTAAAATTGACAGTTGTGTAAAACATTCCCGTTTGAATATCCAGTAGATGCAACCAGCAAGAACAAATAAAGAATTGAAGGAATAAGGAGAGGGACATTAGTAAATGACTTTTTTTATAGGGTACGCCCACCCGGTAATCTACAATTTACTAAGCTCCGACTAATCCGAATATCCTGACCATGTCCTAAATGAGGGAATCACTTTGTTTACAGGATAACTACAGAGTATCATAACAGGAGTGTTTAGAGAAAAATGATATCTAATCACTGATTTATAGCAGGACATGTTGAAAAAGTAGTATTATACTAATAATTATCCATATTTCTGTACTACCCACAAAGCAAAATCATAATAAATAGCCATTTTACAGATTAAAAATAAATTAAACAGCATAATTTGTCTCTTCACTTTGTCTGAATCTTCAGCAATACTCACTTGTTAAAAGAGAAACAAAATGCCAAAAGTGTTTCCCTAAATCCTTAAAAACACCAAAAATTAAGATTTTTCAGACATTAAAGAAGGAAGAGTAGGAAAGAATATCCAACCTTCACCAAAAAAAAAATTGAGGTACAAAATAATAATAAGCATTAAAATCAGAAAGACCCCACCTTTAAAACTTTGCAATTAGCAATAACAATTCATAAAATCAATTTGTCACAGTCCATTTATGCAGTTCTCAGACTTCAACTGTCATCTTCTTGATCTTATTACACAATAAAAACAATTTATTTTCCAAATTTTAATTAATAATAAAGTTTTCAACAGCAAAAACCATCAAATTAAATCATAATCAAGCATACCCAACTCAATAAATTCAAATTCTAAACACTAATTCATCAAATTAAACCATAACCCAACACACCCAACTCAATCAAACCACATTCCAACATACCCAGCTCAAGAAATTCCATACAAATAACTCCACAAGTTAAACAATCACAGTAAATAAATAAAAAAAGCTCCAAAATTTTAACAGTAAGAACTACTAATTATAGAGAGGAGATCAAACCTTGATTATAGGATCCTGTCACCAAAAAACACCCAAAGTTTCAACCTTTTTTGCACCAAAATTTGGCAGCTGACTTGAAAATAGAAGCAAAGAAAACTCCCAAAAATCTAGGAAAAACCCAAGTGAAGAAATATCAAAATAAAAGGGTATAATCAACAGAAAAAGACAGGTAAAATTAAAAGCAAGGTCTTTGTTTGGGTTTGGTATGGAAAAAATTAGGAAAACCCACTAAAGAAAATGACAAATTGAGAATGAAAAAATTGAAGAAGTGGAGTTGGAGGGTATTAGAGGGGAGCACGTCGGAAGCAGAAGAGCAGGAATTGGGTAGCTTTCTAGCATGGAATGCGGAGTGACTGGGGTTTTGAAATTGTACTAATTCTTTAATTTTGATTTTAATTTTATGAAATTAAAATTATAAAATATAGATTCGGGGGAGTTTAAGTGAGTATGAAAGTATCAATCATGATTATGGTTAAGGTGGGTCACTTTATTGTTTCTTTATTTTGATTGTTGTTCAACGATTCTTTTTCTTGTAAGTAGGTCAGCTCTAATTCTGTTCATGGGTTGGTGTGGAAATTAGAATAATGGGTTGTTTCTTGTTTGGCTATGTGAGAATGTTGCAGTTATCCTGTCAAACAAATAAAATACTTCTGATTCCATTGCCGGTTTCTAGAGGTTAGATTTGCTAAAACTGACTCGTGTCTGATTATTTGAACTAATTTTAGATTGTATCTATGAAAAAAGTTTTTGTTTACATTGTATCACAATATGACCCAACCAAAATTGATTTGAATCAACTTGAAATCAAGTAAAATACGCATTATCTGCATATGATATCATTGAGTAATAATATAGTGCACAATAAATCAGGTCACTCGGTTTGAATTAGGTATTAGTTGGGTCGAAGTCATGCTAGTCTGGTAATAGGTGCCCTCTAGACAAATCAGATTAAATTGTCAACGTCGAGTCAAATTGGTGTCAGGTTGAGATTAGATCACAAATCATAATTGGATTGCATGGTTTCTAGTCGGTTACATGTGTGGATTGGGTTCTGGATTTTGCAGGTCAAATCAGGCGTGATAATCTAATACGATTCGAAACAAGTGGGTTTTTTTTTACCCGAATCAAGTCATTTTTTTTAACACCCCTGCCTCAAACAAATATTCAAAAGATCAATAGCATTGAAATATTTAGATTTCATAAGTTTCACTCAATCATATTAATTCACCCCATATTACTTTCAAATGCTCCAAAAGTAGACATTCTTACACAAAGAAAGGATAAACAATATCATAAGGCATTAAGGCCACTTTATTTTGAGGCACAACTTTAATAATTGTACAAAAGCCAAGCACACAAAACTTAACCCTTTTAAAGTATAGTATGATTAAACCACTTTTTCTTGTTGAATCTTTTTAACCCTATTGTATAAAATACCTCGCCTCATGTGAAACTATATATGGTCTTTGACTCTTTGTAAATAATTGTAATTGTAGAAAGGGTAAAACTTTTGTGTATAGGACTAGAGGGTGGCAAGCAAATCTAATTTTAAGTCATAAATCACTTCGTTGGTTTAATGCTTATGTACAAAATTAGTAGGGACAAAAACCATGACTTGAACACTAGGTTTATTTTGGTACTATCTCAAATTTCATCATTTACATTTGACTTCTTTTTTGTATTTTGATTACTCTTTCTCATGTGTTAATCTGCACTCTATAAATTGTGCTGGCAAACATCTATGCCCCATAGCTAACCCCTGGTCTGCGAAAATTGCGGAGATGAGCATACTTGTGCAAAGACATTCTTCCATAGTTTTATACTAGTTTGTACATAGTTTTTTGGATGACAATTGACTTAATTGATCGAATTCATCAGTCATCATTTTCACTTTATAGGATTCAAGTAGTGTTAGTGTTTAGGAACAAATTATAGTTGATCACTACTAAAAGTACTAATAATAAGGTCATCTTTGAGCACGTATTTTATTTGGATGAAGTTAGCAAATAAAAAAAATAAACAGTTTGGATAACTTTAAGCTTGCTGATTGGGCAAAAATTTTAGCATAATACTCCATATAATCGAATTAAAATCTTATCTATTTTCAATAAAAAATAAAAAAATAAAAAAAAATAAAAAAAATTGATTTGTTTGTATTCCAAAAAATACAAAAAAAAAATTAAAAAATATTGGGCTAAGTTGAACCATTTCATATCAACTATAGATTAGAACAAATTATTAAGCTTGTCATGGATCTTTGAACTTTTTTAACCACACCACTAAAAAAGCAATCTTTATGGTTCTCCATACACCATTAAAACAGAAAATGATATAGCCTTATATCTATAAGGACCTAAGAGTAGAATATATAAATGAAAAGGATTTTACCAATGCTACAATCATAGTTCTGACTTTTATCAACAGTACACATTATTAAACTTTGATTATCAGCGGTGCACCCAAACTTTTCCCTAATTTGCTAGTAATCATAATGTTAATTAAACGTTAAGTTAGGGTTAATTAAAAAAATTAGGGAAAAGTTTGGGTGCACCGCTAATATCTTAATGATGTGTACCGTTGATAAAAGTCATAACTATGAGTGAACCATTGATAAAATCTCTAAATGAAATAAGGGTAATGATATACTTCTTCCGTCTCCAAATGATTGTCCCATTAGTCATTTTATGGGTCCCAAAATTAGTATAAACAAGAAATGAGTAAAACAATTAGGGCCAACAATAATGGCAAATGGGACAAACATTTGGAGACGGAGGGAGTATGTAGTCTTTTATATAAATATTAAATACATTTCCTAAAGTAGGAGTATGATAGTAGATTAATGTTAGTTATTCTTATTATTTTATTTTTTTAAATTCTTATATGTGACCGTTGTTTTTTTTTTTTTTTTTTTTATTTTTAATATAATTCTAAAGGTTAGTATATATCACTATCCTTTTAAAAATTACAATACCTCATAATACATGTACATTTTTTTTAAGGATTACTTTATGGGTAATGTATATGTAGCCCTTAACGTTAAGAATAAGCATTTAATATAGTATATCCTAATATAGCACTCGTATTAATTTATAAATGCATGACAAATTTACGCGCAAATAAGTGTATTTAATGTTATATTTTCATTTGTTTTTTTCATTTTTAACTTCTTATATTATGTATATGTCTAAGGATTACGTATTACTTAATGTTATATTTTCATTTGTTTTTTCCATTTTTAACTTCTTATGTATATGTCTAAGGATTACGTATTACTTAATGTTATATTTTTATTTGTTTTTTTTTTCCATTTTTAACTTCTTATGTATATGCCTAAGGATTACGTATTACTTAATGTTATATTTTCATTTATTTTTTCCATTTTTAACTTCTTATGTATGTGCCTAAGGATTACGTATTACTTAATGTTATATTTTCATTTATTTTTTTCATTTTTAACTTCTTATGTATGTGGCTAAGGATTACCTATTACATTTTTCTTACTTTATTAATTTAAAAACAATTAGCAAAATGAAAAGATTTCAAAGAATTCCTATAGAAAACATGATAAAAATTAAAGAGTCGCCAACACAAACCTAGAAAAAAGTAAGATAGGCATCGTGTACAAGGAAGGATAAAATAAGGATGATGATTAGATTTTATCTCCAGCAGTAAATTTATTACACTGGCTGCTCATGCGCAGTGCCTACTTTAACAATTCATGATTACAATTTATTCAAGCGTTAAGTTCAATATTACTAACCTCTTTATTTTAACTGTTTTTTAACCCCTAATTATATCATATCAAATTAAATTCACATAACTTACTCTTTAAACATGCAATTAATTAGTTGTCACAACATACACCCGTGTAACTGAAACCTCCCCACTAACTTATACTCGTACTTAAATTTTTCGAGTTATTCCCTAAAAAAAAAAAAAATCGAGTTATTCCTTATTATTGGATTCACATAAACAATTATTATTAGTAACTGTCTTTCAAAAAAAAAAAATTAGCTGAAAACGAAGTTAGAATATACCGGGTTATGTTTATCCACAATTTTCAACAAAGCTTATGTCCAAACGTAACAGATTATTGGTTAAAATGGTTACCTTTAATTTGTTGGTCTTGCACATCTCGTATGTACTAGTAGTGGTATTTCTCCCTGATCTCATGTGTTGATTTTTAAAATGAAATTAAATTTCATCGGTTCAACAAATTAAAACGTCTATAAACAAATACTATGAAGTTTTACTTCTTATTATTCTGTAATGGTTTTATATTACATAATCCAAACTATTTTTATGAAGAAAAAAAAACGCGATGATAAATATTTAACATAAAAAACAAAATTGAAAATGAAATGTGAGGAATTTAATCAATTTATCCAATTATGATCCGTCCATTTCCCATAAGCATAAATTTACCACAAAATATAAGCAGCTTTCAAATTGTATAAAAGAGTACGAGTACCAAATAAAAATACTTACATAAGTGTACAAATTAGCAAATATAGGCCAAATCCATTTTTATATAAGTGAAAATATATGAACACAAATTAATACTCGTAATAATGATGTACATGCATGCATGTACTCCGTATGATGTATGTATGAGTTTATGAATAAATAAGTAAAACTCCAAAAGGTGCGATTATCTGAAAATGAATAATGAAAAAACAATTTAATTACTCTCATAAAAAAAAAAAAAAAAACATATTAATGCAGCCCCCCTTTTTAGCTATTGGTAAATGATCTTCCCCATAAATGTTTTAATTAGTTATTTAACTAGTAACAATTTACAATAAACCGTATCACAAGAATATAAATCAGTAACGAAACTCCCAATTTAATCATCAAATAAATTACTTTTCCTACTTCTATTTATCTTTGCTAAAACTACACATTTTAATTTCCTACTTCTCTCATCAGTCTCTTTATATTCATTTTCTCCAATCATCGTGGAAATAGCTACTAATAATTATCCTAAGATGGAGATTCAATGCCATGACCTTCAAGATTGGCACTTTTTGGAAGATTGGCAACAAAGGTACGTACGTAACATAAAATGAGTGTCTTTCATATTCGAGTTGATTTCTATTGCGATTTACTATTTTTGTCTATCGTGTTACTAGTTTAAAGTACAATATATCTATAAATATTGTTGTAAGAATATATTTACGAGAGCTTAATATAATTTTGTTATTAACCTAATGAATTATTTTGCAGGTTATTATTTGAAGAATCGTTATTGCCACCAGTTTTTCAGGATTATCTTCTTGATTATCCTTCCACCAATAATCAATACCTAAATAACTTAGAAAATTTAGGAACTGATTTTCAATTATGGGATGAATGCCCTCCCTTATGTGAAGATGCATGGATGAAGCCTCTTAGACAACTTCCACCTCTATTACCTTCATCACTACCCTCCATGACCAAAAACCCGAACCCTCTTCCTTTCGACGATGCTCAATTTTCACTTTCTGACAATATATTGAACGATCAATCCTTAGCCACGGTTGTGGCAGAAGGTCTTACGATGCAAAAACAAGGTAACAAAATAGTGAAAGTGTCAAATATTGTTGGTGATGATGAAAATGAGGAAATTAGAAAAAATAAGGCGACGACGACAAAGATCGAATCGATTGGGTACGAAGAAATAAGGAAGTATTTCGATTTGCCGATTAGTAAGGCAGCTAAAGAGTTGAATGTTGGGCTAACCATTTTAAAGAAGAGGTGTAGAGAGTTGAATATCAAAAGATGGCCTCATAGGAAAATCAAAAGCTTGGAGGCTCTCATCAATAGCACCAAGGTACGTCGTGCATGTTTTTATTATTTCTGTTATACGCTTATATGAACTTAAGTATAAATTAAAATTATTTACTTTTAGGCTAGATAAAATAAAACTTGATTATGAAAGGAAGAAATTATAAGAACACCTTCTTTAATTTGGTGGTTGTTAATATTATGCCAATTAGTATGTATGGATGAGTCATTGATGATTATTCAAATTTAATTTGTATAAAAACAAAAATTGCATGGTAATACTGTACTGTAAATCCCATAAATAAATAAATAAAAAGAACAGGTTAAAAATTAACTTGTACGGAGTATATATTTAAATGAAAAATGTTACCTTTCAAAAAAGAAAAGAAAAGAAAAATGTTAAATATAGGTTATATAGCCATAGATATAATACAGACTTTAAAAATAAAGACTATAAAAATAAATTAATTTACATATAATTACTCTTTAAAGTATACGTAACGTTATTGGTTGTCAATTGCCCCCATAATTTAATGCTTCATGTACGTCAAAACTAAGATGTAGATTTTTTTATTTTTTATTATTTTTTTTTTTTTTCGCCTAGCATCGATCAATATCTACTTTAGTAGATTTGATCAATCATTATTTTCCGTTATATATATTTAATAAATTGCAGAAAATCATAGTTAATAGCTAGATTCTAATTTTACCATTAATATAAAGTCGAATTTGCTCAAGTTTGTGAATTGATCAGTATGGAATACGGAGTATCGACTAATGTAATTGTATAATCTCAATGTAGTGTTAAAAAAAAAAGTTACTCGTCTCTATCGACATGTTTTTTTGTGTTATGTTATGTTTGATATTTATCCCTTTTCCAGTCTTATTATCTAATAATGATATCATATATATGATGACTACGTTTAGGAGCTTGGGATGGTGCAAATGGCGGAGCGATTGGAGGAGGATAAGAGGAAACTCCATTTTATGCCGGAATTTGAATTAACGGAGGAAACAAAGAGGCTAAGGCAACAATGTTTCAAGGCCAATTACAAGAAAAGGAGGGCCTTAGCCTTAAACTATGTTTGATAATTATGATTAACTTCAGTGAAATGATATTTTGGTGTGATTTGATTATCTGACGTAATCTAGTATGTTATCTAGATTAGGATGAAATATATTTTGTTGATAGAATTAGAGTTAGTATTAGTGTATTGTCTTCTATTTTTGAGGTTACAAGTTTGTAGCTGAAACTTAACATTTTCATTGGCATTAGTAGCCTGGTATCTTGTTACATAGTAGTATTTCCAACAGTTTACTATCTTTATTGGTAAACTGAACATAAACATTTGGATTTCCTTTTTACCTTCTCTTCTTATGATGTGATGTTGTACATTAAAGGGAAAAAATATTTGAATTATAAGTTAAAAGATTGATCTAGTATTAACAATTCTCTTCTCACAAAATAACACTCCGATAAATGAAGCTCAATTTGAAGTTAAACTTTATAGATTGGTGTTGGAATAGGGTTTAGAGTTAAAATCCTTTATAGTTAACTTGAAATATTGAACTAAAAAAAACAGTGAAAGTTGAGATTTGGTTAGCTTTATTTTAATTATAATCTTTGACCTTGGTTTAATTTTCATACGTGTACGTATGTTCTTAACATAATATACGGACGATTTAACGGGTGCAATAAATCCACTGTTATATTTTATATATCATTTTATACAACTTAACGCAAAGTATACATTATAAAAAAGCTATGCTCAATCTAAAATTTATGATGCTTCAGATCTTTGCTTCTCCTCTTTGCGCCGCCGTATCACTATTTGCTTAAGGCATTCAAGGATGTTTTCCTGCAATTTTTTTTTTTTTTAAAAAAGAAACATACTCCATATTAGACTATTAGATACAATTAATACATGGTGCAAAATATTAATATTAATAAGATGGAATTAAAAAGGGTAAGGTAAAAAATTGAGCTTACAAATACACGAGAACTTGCATTTGATAACTTATATAGACTTCTTGTTGATCGTCTTCTAAATCTTGTTATTTTCACCTCAATATCCTTCTCATTCATAACATCACTCCCACCAATACTATCACTATAAGGTGAAATGTCAGTATTGCCCTTGTGAAGCTTTTGATTCCACTTTGTACCATTACCACTGGCCCACCTCCTCCAAGGCCCAATTTTCCTTTTCACAACATTCTTCTTACTCTTTTCTTGATCCATTACATTATTTTCTTCTACATTAAAGCCCAAATCAGGACTAGGAGCTGAAATTGGGCCTTCAAAGCAGAACCTTTGAGACAAGGATCGGGCCATACGAGGCCCATCTAAAACAGTAGTTGGGGAGGAAGGCATATGGGCCACTTTAGCCTCAAGGCCCTCAACCAACATCCTAGGAGGAAGCTCTAAGCATCTAACACTCTTGGGCTTCTTACATGGGCTTGAAATGTTTGTGAACCTGGGCTTTCCGGGTGCTTCCTCCCACTCGAAGGGAATGGATGCCATGGGGTGCAACGGTGGTGTCAAAGTCCACGGTGACTCCGGCGCGATCGCCTTCAAACTTGGGAGGTTTGTGAGAGATAGCTTTGGTGGCGTGGAAGCTAGTTGATCACCTAATTTAGGCCCCATACTTCATAGAAAGATTGAAAAGGACGAGTATACAATTTATGCACAACAATGTATGTAATTTTGTGCAAGGCCGACTCACTCCATTCAATCCTTATTTAAGAGAAATAAGAATCAAACTTATTACCTCACAATATGTACCAATAACACATGTTTAAGATTGTTTAGTAAAAGACGGGTTTTGTTAAGAAAAGGAAGGGGGTAGTAACGGAAAAAGATGTATGAGAAGTATGGTAGTTAAAGATTTTAAGTTAGGTATATATAGAAATGCATGATAGTACATTCATAGATGAGAGGAATGTGAAGAGGGAAAGAGTTAGAAATTAGAAAACGCTCCTAGCGCTATATAACTCACGAGGAATATCAAGTATTAGCAAATTTTATGCAATAAATAAGGCATTTGGACCATATAGTACGGCTAATATTTAATAACGTTTAAATATTTATATTTATTTAATGTATTATATGGTCATAAAAGGCATGTTTCAATTTTTAGAGGGAATGCTATCAACGGTCACATTTTAGACGTTGAAGTTGTTAGTGAATTCTGAATTCTTATTGGTGGATTGAAGGCATGATTAGATGAAAATGGAGTTAGTTGTTCCTTTTTTCTCTCATCTTTACATCATGATTTAGAAACATTATGCTTCATTTAGAAACCCTGATTGTAAGGAAAAGGCTTGAAAAAACAGGTACAATATTTTAAGGTTCACTAGTTTTAGCTTGTCGTATCACATGGTATGACAAAACCAAAACTTCTTATAAAACATTACGAGTAACCAATATGCTAATTCAATCTAAATATACAATGTGAAATCCATATTCAAAGGGAAAGAAGATGTATCTAAAAATGTGATAAAACTCATAAAATTGATTATGACACTCCTCTTTATGAGTAGAGCATAAAAAACGTGTTTTCATAAAGAGTAGAAGATTCAAAATCAATTTTTGAAGTGTCAAAATCATTTACAGAAATTTGGGTCTAATAACCAAGTGTACTTGTATGCATATATATACCTACTTCAAAATAACTCAACTTATAGAGAATCTTATCTATGAAGGACTGACCATGTGAAGGTATATTTTAATAAAGACAAATCAGAAAATTCAAGGTTTTGTACGAATAATATAATTCAGGTCAATTTGTATGACCAAACACAAGCCTCTTTATATGAAGATAGGCCCAGATGTTTTTTGAAGCTATATATTCAATATCATATCAACGGTCATAAAAGATTTTGCCTAAGAAATTTAAACAAATCTACCTACATTTTTCAGAGAAATCAATTCAGCTACTAATGCTGGTGCAATAGCAGAGAAAAATATCCTCTAAACTTCTAATGACATCTTAAACTATGCTATTATGGCTGTTAATTACAAATGCTCGTAATCTTAGCATTTACAACTATTACAAATATCAGTACATTGTTTTATTTTTAGGTGCAATTAGTACGTTGATATTTTAAGTGACAGCTAAAATGAAATGAGAAAAGTTAATTAAGTGAACACTTATTTTTAAAAAGCGACAATGCCTTTTTCAAAAATGGCAATAACTTATTAAAGAATGATACGAGTGACATTAGGATATCAGGAAAACCGAATGGTCCTTACAGAGAATTTACTTCATACACATTTTGATAACTTTAATCCACAAAAACATGATAATACTTGCATATTGGTGTTCTATTCTCGACCACGAATAGATATCATAATGAGATGTAGACACCTGGGTTATCATCTGCACTAAACTATATTATGACTGATACAGCTGACAAATCCAAAACAAGTTCTGCAAAGAATGTTTTGAAAACTACCAAAATACGGCTAAATAACTAGATTCTCCAAATATCTGATCTGCAGCAGTATAAAACAAACACAGAAGTATATTTTTATTAAGTATACTGTATTATTTTGGATAGCTGTTTATGTACAAACTACAGTCACATAAGAACATAAGGCTTCTTTTCTTGTTGCATCAATTGATTGTAAGAATATACGTTCAATGTTTTTCACATAAAGCTAAAAACCCTGATTTTTTTTTATTTTTTTTTTTTCAGATTCTGAAGTCATTACTTCAGAAAATTAATTCCCTCATAAGCTAATGTGCCTTCAAGATCACCAATAAGTCGAGACATCCTGACCTCAAGACCCCTTTGAACATCCTTAAAGAGACACTGCATTGTATCACCAAATCGCTTCATATCAAAATTATCAGGCCCGTCAAGCTTACTAGTGATCCCAGCAACAAATCCAGCAGCAATTTTGGACTGCACTTCCATCAGTTTTTGCCCTGTCGCAACTATAAATCTCTGTAACTGAAATGTCTCCTCGAGGAAGTGCTCAAGCTTCTTTGTCTCCTCCTTTGTTCTTTTGGAACTTGATACCCTTTGTTTTAAGTTTAAATCCTTATCTTCCTGAAAATAACATTAAGAACATGGTTTAGCAAATATAGTATGAGTACTTAATGTATGTGCTGATAATCTGCATTATGAGCAAGATATGTATGATGCTTACCATCCGCTTGCTAAGGTCATCGGTCTTCTCTTGAAGAGATTGATACCTGCTCACTTGCTTTTTAAGCAAAGAAAGCAGCGTTTTAAAACTCTTAAATTCATTGCTTTCTTGATTTCCTGTTAATCTTTCAAGCATAAGCAGCTGCTGGTTTAGCCGCTTGATCTTATAAGTAACTCCCAAGGCATGAAGATCTACTTTCCAGGGAGATGCATTAACCTTGTTCAAGCACACTTTTGCTTCTAGAATGTGTTTCTCTTCAATGTCTTCAGTGGAGGAGAAAGAGGTTGAAGAGGTATGTTTCGATGAAGAGTCTCGTTCCACTGGTTTCTTAGTCTCTTCTTCCACCATACACTTCTTTGGTTCTTGGTCCTTCTCATCTAGTTTTTTCTTTGTGAATTTAAACTTAGACCAGCCATTATCATCATCTATCGGAAGATTCCTCCTAGATGAATGTTTTCTTGCCTTTTGAACACTCAATTTGCTCAATAGCATTGAAACCTGATCCTTGAAAGTTTTAAGTTCTACTTCTCGGTCTGCCAACAAGGACTCCAATCTCAAGTTATCATCCCGGAGTTGGGACAATTCTTGATTGTGGTCTTCTGTTTTCGACTGCAAACTCTTTGTCTCTACTTCTGCACTCAGTAGCTTCCATCGGAAGGCTTCTAGTTTATCTTCCTTCATCCGTATTTGCTCTTCCAAAGCATCTAACTCTAGCTGATGCCTCTGCTCAACTGCGTTATGATACTTTTCTGCCTCAGCATGAACCCATTCATCCAACCGCGTTTCTTCATCTGACAGTCCAACAGCAACAACATAACTCCAGATCAATAACAAACATAAAAATTTACGAATTTTGTTCTTTACATCTCAAAAAGTTGAGGAAAATAAGTTCAGTTAAGCAAATTACAGATGAAAAGAAAGATGTTGAAATGTCATCCTGAGAAGATAAGAATGTAAAACTTACGAAACTCAGTATGTTCTTCAGGAAATCGTTTTTCAGTCTGTGCAGAATAACTATCTTCAATTTCTTTTCTGACTTCAGCATCCAATTCATCAAAAACCGCCTTGCGTAGCTCTGATTTGGTGCTCCCTTCTCTGTTCTCATCAGCCGGAAAAGCCTCTAACAATTTCGAACTGACTTGCCTTGACAGCAAATTTCTCAATGTGTGTCTTTCACTTCTTGAACTAGGAAAACTTCCCAACCTTTCTGTTTTTCTTTCACCAATTTTCCTTTTGGGTTTGAATAACTTGACCTCTTTCAGAATCTCAGGTGAGTCCACCTTTATTCTCCTCATCAGTGCTGATAAAATCTTATCTTTTTGCTCTGATTCTTTGCGCGTTTTCTGAAGCTCCACTGCTAACTCTTCTACCATCAACACCGCCTCTTCCTTTTCATCGAACAGAGATTCAAGTTGTTGCTTAGCAGCTTCCACTTGCCTAAGCGTCCTACTCAACTCAGCTTCTAGCTGCCTTTGGTTAGACACAAGCTCAATGAAAGCTGTCTTATGCTTCAAAAGCTCAGTCGAATGATCTTGAGCTTTATTCTTATTAGCCTCTCTCAATTCCTTTAGAACAGCCTCAGTAGACTTCAATTTCTCTTCCAACTCGTTCCTCTTCTTCTCGTCTTCCTCCAACACCTTCTCCTTAGACTTAACCAAAACTTCCATTTCCCCAAGCTTCCTATCCGAATCAGCAATAGCTTCATTCTTTCGTTTATCAAGAATTCGTAAATCATTCAAAAGACTCTCAACCTGATGCCTAAGCCTCCTCCTTTCAGCAAACCAGCCTTGCTCTTGTGCAGCATAAATACTAGCAACCTTATCATTAGCTTTAGCATCCTCACTTCTTGCTTTCTTCAACTCCATGATCTCCCTCTCAGCAGCCTCAAGCTTACGACGAAGCTCATGTTTTTCAATCCTCTTCGATTCCTCTCCCTCCTGCACTCTCCTCCACACCAGCAATCCCAACAGATTAACACTCCCTTGCAGCATCTTTTCCCTCAATTCATCATCCAGTTTTTCACTTGACAACTTCTTAAGAGCATAAAAGGCACAAGATATACCAAAGTACATTGCACATAAACTATCATCTCTAACTTCAGATACAAAATCACATGATTTTGACACACCCTTCTCTTCCATTACCAAGAATTTGCTTCATTGCCGTCGAAATTCAACAAAACAACAACAATACTTTTCTTAAGATCATAAATTTGACAGCAGATTAACAACATAAAAATTGGAAAAAAATGCATTAGAAATGTAAAAAGAAAACTTACAAGGAACCAAGGACTAATTGCTTCAACTGTGATGCAGGGTATCTCAGTACTCAAACAGTATAATCTGACATTAAATTACCAGAAATTAGTTACAGAAAACTTTAACAGAAATGACAGATTATGAGTGGAAAAGAACATGATAGTTTTGTCCTGGAATTCAGTGAAAGTTTAAGACTTTTTAAACCCAATTTGCTGCTTTATTTTTCCTTTCATTTTGAGTACCTTTTAATTCTTTGATCCCCACATTAAATTTCATTCTCTTACAGCTCTAAAAACCTGGGCTTTTCAGGAGTTAAAAGGCACTAGATTCCTGGGTTTTTGTCACCATTATTTGTTATAGGAGAAAATTGAGTGTGAAAGGAGAGAGAAAAAAGAGAAAAATAAAAAAAGGGTACACACTAGCAAATTTTGGTACATTTTCCAGAGTGTCATGAGTCTTTAATTAAATAGACAATACATGGCCACAAAATCAAGGGATCTTTTTGTTTATTAATATCTTATCTCTACTTATTACAAGATTTGTAACAACCTACATTTGGACTTCTTCAAAGTACAAGTATTTTTTAGCTTAATTGAAGTAGGATAATCTCCATTTGTTTTAGTTCAATGTTACCTTCAAATGAGATCACCTTAACTAGGATTAACGGTAAATAAGATGATATATTTCTAAATTATGCATATCTGACTATCTTGTTTAAAACTACAACTGGGGCGGATATGGCTACACTTATATTATGTCTTGGCTTGATTTTACACAAAGTAATTAACCTAATCTTATATGAATATAACTCCAAACCAATTAAGGCATAATCACAAGAAGTTGCCATCTTCCCAAAATGCCCTCTTTTTACCTAGACAGTTTAAACTACAATTACATCCACAACTTTAAAGTAATAAACACCTTTAAAGTTGGGGGGTGTTATGTGTAAGAATTTCCAATACTAAGTAAAAAAGTTGATTATAACATTCACCCACCATTCACCAACATCCAAAACCCCAAACATCCAACTTCAATGTACTACTTGTAATCCAATTGAAGTCACACATATATGCTAAAAACTAGTCAAATAGATGGACCACAAAGTTCAGTAAAAATTCACCAAAACCCTTTAAACTCCATAATCACATTAAAAAAAAAGTACATATATAAACACTCTTACCTAAAATGTTGCAACGTAGCATTAAAATCCCATTAAAAAACACAAATTAGTCAAATAAGTAAAGCCATTAGCAACAAGATTAGTATATAAACACTAATTAAAATAAATTATCTAATGCTATTGTATGGTATTTGTACATGTATATGGTCCAAGAAAGCAACAACAGTCAATTAAGAGCATATTATGTAGGAAATAAGATCAAGCAATGAAAACCATCATTTTCAATTTATAATTATCAATAATATGATGAATCCACCTAAGAAACCCAAGGATTCATGGGTCCCACACACAAAGGTAAAAATAAAAAATGAAAATGGGAAAAAGGCTTCAACTTTGGTAATGAGACCTGTAAAGCAGGAACTTGTTAGGCAAAAGTAACACAAATCCTAATAATTAAAGGAATAATTTAATCCCATAATTCCAAAATAATGAGTTTAAATAGTAATTGAAATTCTTCTAATTATTCAAGATCTCCCCTTGGGAGTATAGACAATAGTACTACACTTGTAAATGTCATCATTTAATTTTATTTTTCTTATTGTTAAAGTTAAAAATTAAATATATGCATAGAAATAGAGGGAATGAAGTACTGTACCTTATACGATAGGAATTGACTATAGGGGTTGAACTCAATCCAAATACAGTCTGAAATCTGAATTGATGTTTGAGAAGTAGGAGATTTTCCTTTTTTTTTTTTTTTTTTTTTGAATAATTTGAATCCAATTATACGGCTTGAAAATTTGTGAAAATGTTATGATAACATTTTTTTTATTTTGGAATTCAACCCATTAATGTATTGGTAAAATAGGGTAAAAAGGGAGGGAAATGCAAATAATAAGATAACTTTATGAAAAATACTAGGGTGATAAATTAGTAATTGACACTTTGGGAGCTCTCAAGGGTCTTTTGGGGTCCAGGGTTCTCGTTTTTAAATTAGGGTTTGGTGTTTATTATGAATTGGGATTTGAAAATGGGGCAAAGTGATTGTTTTGTTTTTTTGTTCCACTCGGTTCACCCTTTAGGCTAATCTGAATTTTGGGATCAGTCCTGGGTGGTTAGGTTTCACTTCTCACCCAATTGTTGCTGCGAGGGATCGAACACGCGGTCCTCTCTATCAAATGCAGTCCTAATCACAGCAGCCAATTGGTAGTGGGGCAAAGTGGTTGTAGGAAGGAAGGAAGGGTTGCTTGTGAATGGGGAATAATTACATGTGACGATTTTCCATCAACGATGATTGTTCTTGATAACCATAAGATGAGTTTCCATAATAAAACCTCTTTTTATGGATAATTTCACAATGGGTTTACTATGAAGTATGAACAACAAAATTAACAATTGTAATGTTGTGTGTGACACTAAAATAAACAACTCATGCATCAACAATTGCGACTAATAAGTGGGTTAGGATTTGATAACCCATTGCAAGATTTGTAACTCATATACTTTGCTCACTATCTTGGATTGTTACTCAAGTCTTTCTCTCTTTTTTAGGGTTTTTAAAAGTAGATAGCTTCAATTAGGATAAAACTTGGACCCTCCTCCCATAACGTCATTGTGGGTCCAAATTAAAATTGATTGGGATTGACATTCTTTGTAGAGATCCACATTTTGGTGCACCCTATAAAATGTAATATGTGGGGGGGGGGGGGGGGGGGTTATATGCATGTATGGTCGTTGAAGCAAGAAAGGGGGAAATCCTTTTCTTGTATTATATTTTCTGATTTTTTTTCTCCTTTGTTGGGTTTAGTGTATATAGAAATCGACATACCCAGTTATTATGGAACATGGAGAAATTATTCAATTGTACTTGTAAATTAAAACAATCATTTTCATAACATCATTTTGCTTACTACGAGCAATACAACAATTTGAAAAGGCGAGTTGGTAGTTCCTTGGACATGAACGAGAAGAGGGGTTGCTAATAGGTCCATCATTAACTCCATGCCCACATATATCATGATTAAGTATTAACCAAACAAAACTATAACGAAATGAGTGATCATCTTTGCTCTCTTTGACTCTTTAGATTAAACTATTGTAAATTTATAAGTATTTATGAACGGTGGGAGTAAACAAAATACCAATTACCAAAATAATAAGACCTATATAGCTATGTACGTGTTACAAAGCCGCAAATCTTCTAAGACTTGTAACATAGAATCAATTGAAACCTCTCACTTACACAAGAGCACAATGCAAGTACAGAAATATAAAGATAAAAAAACAATCTTCAAAGATCACATCAAACTTTAATTCCGAAATGATTTAGCCAATTTTTTTCTTGCAATGTTTAATCTCCAATCAATAACAATACATACATACTTTTTATCTATAGTATACATGTAACCAAGCAATATCACAATATCAATATTGTTCCTTTGATAGCTGTGTATGAGGTCGTCCCATTGCAACACCCTGCTTATAATTAGAAGAGCTAGCGTAATTATTGTTCGTGTTATTAGCAGCGCCATACGCCCAGAAAGCGTAAGAGATTAGTCCTAAGACAATGGTAATTATGCACCAAATTGTAGCACCAAGGAACACATCTTCTTTACCAACTTTGCAAATGTGATTATTGTCTTCAGATTGAATTTTTGCTAGATAACTTATGTTGTTGTGGATCGCTGTGTATAGTAATCCCATGAATGCTATCACAAATGTTATCCTGCATCAAAACAACAAAGCCAAGGATTATATTAAATTAGTAGGCCGCATTTGTCAAAAATCTCCAATAATCCTTTTAAACGTCAAGTTGTACAACACAAGCTAAGTTTAATTACTATTGTCTAGTGGCACAATCGTCGTATCAATTGGCTTCCGGACCATATTTCAAAGTTCCATAATTTTTTATTGATAGAGTATAAAACATATTTCTGGGCCTCAACCATTAGCTTAAACTTTTGGTTGAGATGGTCCACTAACATGGTATCAGAGCTAACGTGATATAGAGGTCACGGGATCGAATCTCATCCACCCCCACCTTAAGTATGGGTATGAAGAGGGCCCATGCTGCATCCATACTTCAAATCCGACGGGCTCTCGTGTGAGAAGGTGTGATAGAGTATAAAACATATTTCTCGGCCTCTACCATCTTCTTAAACTTTTGGTTGAGTTGGTAAACGACGTGACTATCAATGCTGGACAGAGTGAATATAAGCACATACTCGTAGTTATTATCGAAGTTCAAATTCAAAGGGGTAGAAAAGCAGAGGTCCTGAAACATACCAGGAAATGACAAAGAGGATAATAGAAGTGATAGCAGAACAAGTAGAAGAAATGCGTACACCACAACAGCAAAAGCAGTTGAAAGCAGCACTAATTAGAGTTTGTTCAGCCAAAAGAAGTGCAGCAGCAGTTATACCAAGTGCACATGCTCCTGTGTGTGGATATACGCATGCCCCATTTACTTTTGGACCAACTTCTTCTGCCTGCAGCCCACCCAAACAAGACTAGTTAACAAAGGCATACAAATCGCAATCATTTTAATTTTACTCAACCCGTTTCATATTGATAATCATGAATTAATCACAATATTGAGTGTCACAGACAATTATGAAAAAATCACACGATTGAACTTCATGTATACGTGGATCATGTACACTTTAAAAACCTTATTTTAGCTGTAAATTTAAACAAAGTATTGTGAGTATTCCATTAATTTAAATAATAAGTACAAATGTTTCTTCAAAATAATAATAATAATAATAAGTACAAATGTGGTTCAAGATTTCAAATTCTACTATTAATGTAATAATTAATTTCTAACATAGAATATAAAAGATTTTTTTTGGTTAATATTTGATTCTATAAAAGATAATTATACAAGAATTGGAAATATTTTAGGTTGTGTATGGAAGAATTAAAAATACCAATTAAATAATAATATTTATAAAAGATTTGGAATAAAATTATTATAGTTGAATTGTATAAATTTTCTAAAAAATTATTTTGGCTAAAAAGGAAGGGAAGTTTTGGAGGAAAAAAATAAAACTAAGATGTGACACATATATCTGTTTTAGTATTAAATTATTATTAATTGATTGATCAATAATTATTGATTGTTAAATTGTTGCCTACCAAACGTTAAAAAATCACTCACAAAGTCACAATCACAAATACAAAGCCACGTCCTAAAGCCTCATATAGTCAAATCATGGGCCAAGCATCTAGGGCTCAAAATTATGAAGTTGTCGTGAGAATTTAATTTATAGGGGTTGGTCATCAATTGGGCCTCAACCTTAATTGGTTTGGTTGGTTGGCCGGTTGGACAGTTGAACATCCCTTCATATCTTCCTTGACCCGTACACGACCAATTCTTATTACTCCCTCGGTAACTTTGTCAATTTAATTCATTTCAGATTAATTCAGCTCTAAAGAACAAAGTTTTAGTAGATAATAAGATTAGCTATCGAACACATTTTTATATTCAAGGGATGGATTTGAATCATTTGATATAGATAGATAGATATGTGCGTAATATGTAAGTTTAAAATATAGATGAGTAGATAGCTTAATCACATTGTTTGATATTAATAGATATATGTGCGCGTAATATGTATGGTTTGTATCCCATCCCCGCCTCACCACCCGCCAAACCAAAACTCATCCCCGCCCCTGGGGCGGGGATGAGGCGGGTCTCCTATTTGACCCGCCCCCACTAACATCCCTAGCCGCACCCAATAGTTTGTGAAACATGATTATCATACTTAACAATTTGATCTTCTTTACAAGTAATTTTGAGCAAAAACTTGTGATCCGATTATTAATGAAAAAAAATGTACTCATAGGTAATTTTGAATTTCACCACAAATTGCATACTTAATTACGTGGAATATCTGTAAGAAAGACCTTAAAATTACTAAATAAAGTATGCAATAATGTATAAATGATGCATCAATATTAAAATTTAGAAAAATTGATTACGTAAAAATAAAATCACAGTAACAAGAATTACACATGTATATACTTACCTTAATTCTTTTGGCATAAGCAAGAAAGCTGAAAACAACTGCTAGTATACCAAGAACAAATGCAAAAATAGGCACCAAAACCCGAAATCTCTGGGCCATTTTCGTTTTTAGGACCTTTTTTGAGTTTTTTTTTTCTTTCTACAATATCTAAAATAAATTGGTTGGATGGTATATAATTATATATGGGAATGTGATACTTATAATACTCAAAGTAGCTTCCACCAATTTTAGAGAACAGCTGGAAGAGCCAACACAGTATACATCAGCTTGGTTAGAATATAACGGTTGCACTTATGATATGTCACATAACCTCCATAGGGTTGTTGGTTATTCACTTATTGTTAATGGACGGGTCCGTTATATTCAATTGAGTGTGTGACGCGTCATAAATAAAATCGATTAATTAAAATTTGTATTTTAATCATCAGCTTAATTTTTTTATTAGATTGATCCTTCTGACACGTGTGAATAATTTATACTTTATAGCAGTTTATGTTAAGTTGTTTAAGTATCATGCATGCATAATGTTAATCATCATAAGCACATGCATGTTGCTCGCATAATGTACCTATTGTAATCTACATATATTATTCTATCTTTGTTCGAATATAATAGTCACGTATATTATACTTTGTAAGATGTTTGGCGTAAAATAACATCATTCTCTAAACTAAATCGTAGTTTACATTTGGTTTGTGATTGATATTGTCATTACACATGTAAAAATATGGTTAAGTAATGAAAAAAGTATAAAAATATGGTCGAATTAATATGAGGAAAATTTGCGAGGAAGGTCCTTTTAGGTGGTCGACCTTGTGAGAAAGGTCCTTTTATAAAAAAGGTGGCATAAAAGGTCCTTTTATTGCGATTGGGTTGTGAGGAGGGTCCTTTAACCAAATTGCCCTCCGTTTTCCGGCCAAAAAAAATCACGTGCTATCGTGACCACTTAAATCAGTTTTTTTTGTTCTTTCTTTCTTTATTCTTTTCTTTCCTCTCCATCTTCTTCCTTCCTTTCAATTCCACATCTCCATGAATGGCATTTCTGGCCAGACCTCCGCCCACCACACCTCCACCTCCGGCAACAAGGAATTGAACCCCATCCCACCTAGCCACCACCCTGGTCGAAACCCAAAATTAGACAAAATAACCAAGAGCATCAATAGCAAACAAATGCTTAGAACACAATAAAACCGCAAAAAAGAAACCCCCAATCAAATCTCTCCCATCCATTAACGTTGAAATCGAAATCAAAAGCAAACCCAACAAAAACCCATTATACTCAAAATGCATATGATCAACAATCAACAATGCAGGAGACCAAATAACCAAATCCCAGATCAATCTTCGCTTCGTCGAATCCAATTTCTAGTAATTCGATAAATTGCATAGTGAAGAACCAAATCGGAAACAACCACTGTAGGTCTTTAGAAATTAACGACGGAATCAACCTTGTAATTGAGACCTTTATGGAGATTAACAATAATGGAATCAATTTGGGCGGCGAGAAGAGAGAGAAAGAACTCAAAATAGATGAAAAATGGAGTGTAATCAATTTGGGAGTAAGAGGAGTTTGATTGAGGAAACGAGTGGGTTTCGACCAGGGTGGTGGCTGGTGGGATATGATGGGGTTCCTTGTTGCCGGAGATGGAGGTGTGGCGAGCGGAGGTCTGGCCGGAAATGCCATTTATGGAGGTGTGGAATTGAAAGGGGGAAGAAGATGAAGAGGAAAGAAGAGAAAAAAAAAAAAAAATCTGATTTAAGTGGTCACATGCACAGCACGTGACTTTTTTTGGCCAGAAAACGGAGGTCAACGTTGGAGTTTGGTCAAAGGACCCTCCTCACAACCCAATCGTCATAAAAGGACCTTTTATGCCACCTTTTTCATAGAAGGACTTTCCTCACAAGGTCGACCACTTAAAAGAACTTTTTATGCCACCTTTTTCATAAAAGGACCTTCCTCACAAAGTCGACCACTTAAAAGACTTTGCTCGCAAATTTTCCTTAAAATTACTACATTTTTTTTAAATTATTATTTTTAAAAAAATTCTTTGACGAATGTGCTATTGTATTTGTACGTGTAATTTATATTTCATAATTGCTCCCTTTAATTTAAGGTCCATAGCGTTACCAATTGTCAATTGATTGTATGTAGAATTGCTTTGGTGAGTGTGGTAGTGATGGTGGCGATAATTGCATGATGGTGGTGGTCAACGGTTGTGATGGGTTGGAGATCTAGGGGCAATATCGAAATATGCTATGTATTGTGAATTGTTGGGCTAGTGGACTAGTGGATTGCTGGTTTTGGAATTATAAGTTTATAACATGGTTTAACAATAAACAATAATCTTAAACTTTATTTATACTCTTATAATGGGTGTAATCATAGAGTGGCTAGTGGACTAGTGGATTGCTGGTTTTGGAATTATAACATGGTTTAACAATAAACAATAAGCTTAAACTTTATTTATACTCTTATAATACGTGTAATCATAGTGTGGGTCACCTCTTATTATTTTAAGAGAGTTATAAGAGCAGGGGTGAGAACACCACACCTAGTTATTTGCTATTAGGTAATTTAATCATTTGGCTACGTACGTTACACGGGTACACCCATTATATGATTTATACCCGTTGACGTACAACACTGTAGGATGCATGGACACTACGTCCAACAGCTGTGTCCGTGTTCGACACCGTGTCGGACACCGACACTCATTCGACACACGATGGACACACATAAAAATTGCATCCGGTTTTTTTGATATATTTAGACACTTTGAGACGAATCGTATCCTACTATGATACGATCCGATTTGCATTTTGATATATCACCTCATCTTTTTAACTTTTTTAATTAGAAAGTTAAGGCAAAGTATGAGAGAAAAAGGTAAGAGTTATAATACGAGCGCCTTCAAAACACATTTATAGCACATTATTGTATGTGAATTAGGATAATATTATTTAGGTGCGGTAAATGACTTGTTTTAAGGTTAATTATTTAGTGTTTTGTTGAATAGGTTGCCAAAATTTTTCTTTTTTTGATTTATTATTTATCTTGTTATTTGCTGTACCCGTGTCCCCTATTTTAAGATTGTCGTTTTTCCGTATCCGTATTGTACTCGTGTCCGTGTACGTGTTGGTGCAACCTACTATACAACTACAATAACTGATGTATACAAATTAACACTACTGACATACATAGTACTTCATTCGTTTGAATAAACTTCTTGAATTCAAATAAATATCAATACACACGGGCATGTAATTAAACAAAAATAAAATAAAAGAATTTTAAAAATTACATAAAATTTCTGAAGAGTGAAAAAAAAAATTGAACTTCTAATTAGAGGAATTGCACACTTTTTTTTTCTTCTTGCAATTCCATCAATTTTGGTTTACACAACTAACAACCAATTAATTTAATTTAACATTGACATGATCAACATTGTTCTTTTGGTAATTGTGTATGAATTTGTCCCATTGCAACACCACTTTGCCCATAATTAGCTTGCTCACAATTAGTGTTTTTGTTATGAATACTACACGCCCAAAAGGCGTAAGTGATTAGGCCTAAAACTGTGGTAATTATGCACCAAATTGCAGCCCCTAAGAACAAATTCTCTAGGCCAATGAAGCAATTGCCTCCGTTGTTTTGAGAGTGATGTTTTACTAGGAATTTGTGGCTGTTGACAACCGCGGTGTATATCAATCCGATGAATGATATGACAAATGCGCACCTGCATTCATAACATCAATAAAAAGTTTATATTTTGAAAATATACAATACTAATTAAATAACCATTAATCATCTTAATATATGCATATAAAATCTCTATCTAATTCCATCTAAATTTAGTTGATACAATGTTTAAACTACCTATACAATGAGCCGATGTGATTATTAGTTCCAAACCAAAGAGAAAATGTGTAAAATATATGAAATTAAATCATAAATGAAATGTAACATACCAGGAAAGAATGAAGAATATCATTGCCAAAATAGCAACAAATTTTCTGTTAAAATGAACCCCACGACGTCGACAACAAAAGCATCTGATGCCGTAAGTAATTGTAAGTTGCCCAAACAGAAGAGTTAGTGCCGCAAGTATACCATAATACCATGCTGAGCTGCTTGGATACGCGCAATACCCATTAAAGCTGCTCACTTCATAACTCTGCTCATAACCCAAGTCAATTAATTTAAGTGCTCGTTTGATTGACATATACTATATAGTATATACAAACATCAAGTAAAACTATCATTCAAACTAAAAACTAGAAAACATTTTGTTTAGTTGACAAAAACACGAATTTAAAAATTACCTTGACTCGTTTGGTGTAAGCCATAAAACTAAAAACAATAGCGAGAATACCATGAAGAAGGGCTTTTAAAGGTACCCAATAAGTGTATTCTTGTGACATTTTTGAACTATTTTCGATTTTAATTTCTGTCTTTAGAATTTGATTTTGTGAAATGTTTGTGATAACTGATAAGATAGTTTGCAATTGAATTGGATTGAGAAATTAAATAAACTAGAAGGATATTTATATAATGAGTGGCCAGATAGCAATAATCTACTTTAGGAAGACTCCTAAGACCAGCCGACACACTTTTTTAGACGACAAAATAGAATTCAAGACTCAACATTATTATTTTTTAATTAATACTCTGTATTTAATCAATGCATGTTAGCAATTTAGCATGTTAACCCTTAACATACAGCTGTTGTATGTTAGAAAATATATAGGATGGAAAAATATACCACTACATATATAATAGGTGATAGATGGTAAATATTTTGGGGAAAAAATATTTAACCTATATTCCTGTAGGATGGAAAAAAGTACCACTTATATGCATAATAGTACATAAAAAGTACTATTAAGACAACTTATACTTTCCCCTCAAAAAAAAAGACAACTTATATTTTAATGGTACATTATACATGCATAATAGTACATTATAATGTACCACTATAGAGTTAGTTTTTTCATTTTTAGTTCTAAAGCTTATCAAATTTACATTTCTGCAGTGGCGGAGCCAGGATTTGTAATCCGGGGGGACAATTTTTAGATGTTTAATAATCGACAATAATTATAAGAAAAAAGAAATTGATCACATAAATTGTTTAATATATATTTGAAATCGCTTATGAGATATGACAATTATTCTTATATGGTGAAAGAGGAGTTGTTAAAAAATTAATTGCATATTAAGAAATTTATTAACCAAATTTTTTTTTTTTTATGCTGGTAAACCCCAATTTTAAGGTATGTAATCCTTAATAATCGATAAATATGATTTATCAAATGATAAGCATTTACACAAATTGATAGTAGATGTAAAGGGATTTGGGTTACATTTTAAAAAAAAATAATAATAAATAAATAAACTTTCTTTGACTAAAAATAAAATTGGAAACTTAGTTCCAAACAAGCTATAAAAAATAGAATTTAGGCACACATAATTAGAGAGATAAAAAAATACGGAGACATGTGTTCATTACAAATAGTTTAATAACACATTAGTAATCACTATCAACAAGGCGATACTTGATTAAACAGTTAAATGAGAGTAATTAGAGGTTTGAAGACTTATAATACTTTGTATATATAAATTACATACTATATAATGAAATTTAAAAACCAGTAAAAAAAAAAATGGCAAAATCCAAAAACAAGAAAAAGAAGTTAAATAGGAGCACTTTGTATAAACTATAAAATGAAATAAAAATAAAGTCCAAAAATAGCAAAAAGAAACAAAAAAAATGATCGGGTAAAGAATCGAACCTAAGATCAAAGAGAAATACAAGCTTTACTCAAGCCCATCAACCACCAGACCAAATGTTGTCTTTGTTATATAAGGTATACATGTAAGGTATTTATTCTTATTTACAGCATTTATTTAAGCTAACATAAATTAAATTTTTTTTTGGAAAAATGGGGGGACAACCGTCCCCCCTTGTTCCTACATGGCTCCGCCCCTGCATTTCTGCCCTATATACTTTGTAAATGCATAATAGCTACGCGCTGAGATGCAAACTTGGCTAGGAAAAAAGTTTATAATATAAATTTATAAATTACACTTTAAAATAGAAAATGTAACGGTGGACTATTAGGGCTGAGCAAAATTATCCGAAAACCCGAAAATTCGAACCGTAACCGAACCAAAAATTAGGGTACCCGTTTCGATAACCATAACGGTTCGGATACCCGATCCGATAATTTGTTATCAGGTACGGTTATTGGGTATCATTTTAAAATTAACGGTTACTCTATCCGTTCCGATAAGCATTTTTTTTCCTATTTAAATCTATTTATCCAAAATCTAAACTCTTACTTTACTTCATAATCACTTCAAAATTTAAATGATTAGTAATTATTAGTAATTTGGTCATGATCACGTGGTATTATTGTTGATTAGCGTTGAATGATATCATAATAACTAATTATAAAGTCTAAATTTTTATTATTGGATATCATATTGGGTACCCGATAACCGAAACGAAAATTCGGGTACCCGAATTTCGGCTACCCGAACTTATTAGTTCGGGTAATGGATATTATTTTTAGTGCTATTGGTTATTGGGTACCCGAATCGATATTGTTAATGGTATGCTCACTCCTAGAATATTGTTGATGGTACGCTCACTCCTAGAATATTGGTATTATTGTTGATTAGCGTTGAATGATATCATAATAACTAATTATAAAGTCTAAATTTTTATTATTGGATATCATATTGGGTACCCAATAACTGAACCAAAAATCCGGGTATCCGAATTTCGGCTACCCGAACTTATTAGTTCGGGTAATGGATATTATTTTTAGTGCTATTAGTGTTAATGGTACCCTCACTCCTAGAATATTGTGGAGTGTTGGACTTTATCCAATGCATTAAGTATAATTATTTGCTTTTATAAGCTTTGCGTGTGCAGCTCATACGCGTGTAAATTTTGAATCATTCTATATTTCTATCAGTAGGGTTTATGGCTTTTTTAAATACGTTTGCTATAATTGATGGAGGAGGCATAAGGGAGAAAAGTCCACTAACAGCGTATAAAGTAAGGTTTCAATATAAAATTAAAGAAATTTTGTTAGAAAAAATCATTTATAATAACTTTTCTGTTGAAAATAATGGTATAATTTTTTTTTTGACAACTAGAAATCCAATTGTAAATTTTTTTATTGAGGACAACTAAGAACCTCTAATTCACTTTAATAACCTCTAATTTCTCTTATATCTCCTAATTACACTTTTAACTCTCATCTAACTATTTAATGATTAAATTAATATATAAATTTATATAAAAACAAGCAAACGAAAACCACCACCATCCCACCATCAGCCAGCCAGCCACCCCTTCCCCTTCCCACCCCTATCCGAGCCACTGCTTATAACCCCACTCTCGGCGACCAACCTCCAATCCATCGCCGCGTTCGCAACCTTGGCTGCTGCTTGCCGAGCTCCCTTGCTTCAACCAGCCCTCCGCAACAACACATCACACATCATCACAACCTACTTCCTCCGCCAAATATCAACAACCACAATTAAATCACAAAACCGCTTCAAATCGTCAACAATTCGGCTCACCAATCAGTGCTAGCACCGCCCAAGTCTCACCGCACCAACTTTGGTCGCAGCCGCAGCCTTATAGCCACTCTATTGGGTGGAGTTTTTGGGTTAGGGTTTTGGAGGGTGGTCGCGGTTAGGGTAAAGAGGAAAGGGGGGAGCTGAGGTCAGTTCAGCGGTGGAGGTTGGTCGGCAAGGGTGGGGGGTTCAAGGCTGCGGCTGGGGATAGGCCGAGAAGGGGGTGTTGCCACGGGAGGGGGAGAAGGAGAGGGTGGCCGGCTGGTGGTGGTGAGGGTGGTTTTTGTTTTTGTTTTTTTTTTTTTTTTTTAAATTTATAAACTAACTTAATTATTAAATAGTTAAGTGAGAGTTATAAGTAATTAGAAGAATTAATGAGAAATTAGTGGTTAATTGAGTGATTAGAGATCTCAGGTTGTCCTCAACAAAAAAAATTTGCAATCTGGTTTCTAGTTGCCAAAATTTTTTATAAGGTATTTTCCAACAAAAAAGTTGTTATAAATGGGTTTTTTTTTTCGACAAAATTTCCTAAAATTAATAGACAATTTTGCACGTAACACAAAATTAGCATCGAATGATAATGGAAATCAACAATCGATATTTACAACAAATAAATAACTAATTAATACTACGTATTACTTAGAGCATACACAATGGTTGCCCAACCCCATCTTGGTTATTGATTATTTTATTATTTTATCCATCTTCCACCTCACTTATAACCACTCTTATAACCATTTAATAACCAATGTATGCCAATAGTTAACCATAATATTTTGGTTATACATTTTCTCTCTCCTACTTTTACCCAACCCCACCACACAATTTATTACTTAAATTCTATTATTATTAAATAATGCATTTGGTAATAATCATTCAAAATTAATAATTATTTATTAGCATACATTAATTAGATAAAATCTCAAAAATTTAAAAATAATGCAATTTTGATATTAATTAGTATGTAATTAGTCGTTAATTAAGACACAAACAATAATTGTAACCCTACTACATTCCACAATAATAAAAATCATACATATATATTCTATCAAATGACAAAAGTCTTTGAAAGATAATAACGAACCGCGAACAAGTACAAACACAATGATATAATATTGCGATTACACATCTATTAATGCATATTATTGTCCCTACTTTGAACACCGAATTTGAGCCACATATGTTCAACTAAGTCTTTCTTCAATGCTTTATGCATAGCTTCATCACGAACACGTGCTCTATTAGACATGTAAGTTTCCAAACTTGCAATTCGGTTGTTGCTATTTTGGAACTGAAAAGGCTCTTCATTATTTTCATTACTTGAAGACGCATTTGTAGCTTGATCATATTCATTTGGATCGTAATACGTTTTATATGTATCTCTTTCATCCTCAACAATCATATTGTGCATAATAATACACGCTATCATTATTTTTCCTAACATTGATGCGTCACGAGCTAGCGCTGGATTCCGTATTATTGCAAAACGAGCTTGTAATACTCCAAAAGCACGCTCAACGTCCTTTCGTTTAGCTTCTTGTACTTTGGCAAATAGACCTTCTTTTTCATTTTGTGGTAGTGATATTGTAGGAATGAATGCCGCCCATTTAGGATATATACCATCAGTGAGATAATATCCCATATTGTATGTGCGACCATTCACAACATAGTTAATAGAGGGTGCACAACCTTCAAAAATATCATTAAACAATGGGGATCTATCAAGAACATTAATATCATTACGACTACCTGGTGTCCCAAAAAAGGCATGCCAGATCCAAAGATCATATGATGCCACAGCTTCCAAGATTAATGTGGGTTTACCTGGTCTTCCAGAAAACATACCTTTTAATCGAAGTGGACAGTTTTTCCACCTCCAATGCATACAATCAATAGAACCTAACATGCCAGGAAATCCACGACGTTCACCAATCCTTAGTAGTCTTACTAGATCTTCTTCATTGGGCTTTCGAAGGTATTCATCACTAAAGTAAGAGACTATTCCTTCCACAAAATGCTGAAGTGAATCTCTTGCAAGAGATGCACTAATCCGAATGTAGTCATCCACAGAATCAGCGGAGGTGCCATAAGCTATTAGTCTCATAGCCGCGGTGCATTTTTGTAATGCAGAGGCACCAAATCTTCCTGTAGCATCTTGTCTTTGCTGGAAGAAGGGATGACGTTCTTCTAAAGTTTGCTTAATTCGTTGAAATATATGTTTGTTCATGCGAAATCTCCGACGGAATAATTGTGGAGGGAACACAGGATGGTCGGTAAAGTAGTCATTCCATAAACGACTGTGTCCATCCTCACGATCCCTTGGAACGGGAACCCTTGGTGGCCTTGGCACTTGATTAAACATTTGATATACTTCAACTGGATTGGACATAAAAACTTCATCCATCATTCGATCGAACTGGCGATTGGCTTGCCTTCGTCTTTCATATCGTTGGGTTTGGCTATTTTCTGAATTGGAAGAGGAATTAGAAGAGTTGGAGCTATCGTCAGATGACATGTTTTAAAACCAAATTTGATATGAGAATGGAAGGTAGAAGTATAATAGGGGGAAATGGATGGTTGTTCAAGGGAATCCCACTCTGATGTATCCATCTTATAGAACAAGTGTGTATGATATGTAGTAATTTTTTTGTCTTATATGGTAAATTTGAAGTCTTGCATGCATGCAATGATTCATAAAGTAGTTAATAATTTTTAAAAGTAATGGAGATGCATGCCTTTGCATTGTCACTATCACCTTAACATTGTTATGTACGTCAAAGCAAGTGATGCATGCTACTATTTCCTTTTCAGTGTTAAGTACATCAGTGAACAAAATTCACTATTACCTTTTCAGTGTTAAGTACATCAATGTCTAGTATTTAATATTTGCTTTTCAGTGTTGGGTACATCAAATACTTTACAGTGTAATGTAAATCAATGTACATCTTTTGCAGTGATATATCAAAGTGAATCAATAGGTTTAGTCAGATCAATAATAATTATATGTTATTATATAAAAACTTTAATGTATTGAATAATATTATTAAGCTTATAATACGATTATAAGAAGAGACATGTAATTTAACTTAATAACTCCATAAGTATTCAAACTACAAATCAGACCTTAAGTACATAAAAAAGAACAATAAAAAAGGAATTATTTGAAATCAACCAACATTACGACAATAATCAACCATACACTAATACATTAGTCTGAGGGGAACAACTTCTTCAACAAAGTGCTCCTTAATTCTTGATCTTCCGAAGATAAGTTTGGCTTTGAATCGAGGTGTTTAAATAACTCCATATTAATTTTTCTTTGCTTCCTTGCTTCTTTCTCCCTTTCTAGTTGCAACCTTGTAAGTTCAACTTCATTTTCTGATTGCCTTAGAAGGTTCATGTTCTGGGCAGTGTCCAACCATTGTTGCCATGCTCCACTTGGCATGTTTGGCACCTTGCTCTTTCCTTTATTTTTACTAGATTCGTTGCTAGAAGGAAAGCCTGAATACCCAATATCACCACTGGTTGGTGTTTCTGGGTTTGATGAAGAGGAGTAGTTTCCAGCTTCATTGATACGAGATCTCTTTGAGTCACTTCCTTGAGTGGATGTCTTTTCCTTGCATTTTTTAACAACATCTTCACTTGGTTTCCATGCTTCATGTTGTTTTAAGATGTCCCAAACATGCTTGTCTTGAAAGGTTTTAGAGCATAATGAAGACTTTGTTTTGTCGTTAGCATATATACTATATGCTAATTTCATAACATCTTCATCATTCATACCACTTCCCTTTTTTGATTCAGCATGAGCATGTGAGCCACAAAATTTAGAACATGAAGCATTAATCCTTCTCCAACGGTTTCTAAGTTGCTCCGTACCCCTCATTTTCAACAAATCTTCTCGTGTTACCCGATCAGTACCTTCTTCGAAACACCTTTGTTTGTATAGTCTAACATTATTATACATTTCTTCAATTTTCCTCCAAAAAACATCCCCCTTTTGGTTAGTGTTAGTTTTTTTATTTTGACTAACCTCAAGCCAAGCCTTCACAAGAACCACTTCTTCAGCTTTTGACCAAAAAATTTTCCTTCCATCTTGATTGCCTCCTTCATTACCTCTTTCATTACCTTCGCCTTCTTCAACTTCTGGTTCATTTTCGTCATCTGATGCATTCGATGTGTATGAACAATCGAAACTCGAAAATGCACCATCACCTTGTGACATAGAAAAATGTTGAGACATGGGAAATGTTGAATCAATTTGAGAGATTTGAATATTTTCAAAAGATGGGATAACATTTGGAGAATTTGAATAATTAGGATTTTGTGGTGGTTGAAAAGGAAACGGAGTGAAAGTACTTGGATTTGAGAAATTGAGATTTTGTGAACCGTAATTCGGAAAATTTTGAAAATTTGTATCTAAATCTGAGTTGAGATCAATTGGAAGATTAGAATAGTAAGGTTGAGGATTTGGATTATTTTGGGGCTGTGATGAGTTATGAGATTTTGTGGATTTTTTTTTTCTGTTAGATTTTGGAATGTTCATCTTAACACAATTTGCCAATAAGAAGAGTAATTTTCACTTAAAAAAAGTTGTTTCAAAATACTTCAATATTGGGCTCATTTTATAGAGAAAAATAAAATAGAGCCGTTGGTGTATTTTTTTTTTTTTTTCAGAATTGTATTTTAAAAATTATGGCCGTTACAAAAATTACAACGGTTATAAATTCAGAGCAAATCTCAACCATTGATATTTGTATTACGTGTCAAAATCTTAGCCATCCATGTCAACCAAAAAGCAAAAAAAAAATTGCATGACCAAGCTATGATAACCGGTTATTGAAATAACCAGGTTATTAATATTTTCCACCAAAATTTTCTCTCTCCTCATTATTTTATTATTTTCTCACAATCTCTCTCCTAATAACCACCCCAAGTGGTTATTTGCTGTGTCTACTCTTAAAGGGTGATGCTATAAGGGCTGCATATAAGCATTTAATATACTTCTTTTTTTTAGTATTTAGTTGAGAATTTATCGACAATTCACGAGTAAATCGGTGTAATAAATGTTTATTTTTGTCTATTCTTTCTACTTTTAGCTTCTTATCTGCATATATCTTTTTCCTACTTAAAATAGTACTAAGTAATTTCTCTTTTATAGATTCATTTGAGACCCAATTTACCCTAGACCCAGCCCATTGAATGATTTGGTTAAGTGTTTGAATATTCAAATCAAACGCAATGGATTTTGTCTGAATAAAAATTTGAGTTCAAGTCACACAAAATAGTTAGGGTTCACGTCAGGTTGATTCGATCCATGCCTATCTTTACTTTCAAAACATACTTTTACTTAGAGGGTAAGGGATTTTTGATTGGTAAAGATGTAGCCAAAAAGGAGGTCATGGACTAGCTATGTGAGTGAGTCATATGGCCATTGTTGGGTAAGGATGGATGGCAATACTTGTGGTGGCGGCTAGGGAAGCGCAGGGAGATCATGAAAAGAAATCGGAAGGTGTTGGAGAGATCAAGGAGTACATATTTTGTATGAATTTATCAAAAAAGTTTGTTGACAGGACTTATATAGGTTAGTATGGGCACTGCTCATTATAAATTCTAAAAAACTTGTACTAGTACTTAAATTGGTGCTCATTTCGTGATTAACAAAATCTATTTTCAATTTTCAATTTTCAGTTGCAACTTTAACTTGGGGAAAATGAATATTATACTTCGTATGAACATTGCTAAATGTTGTAGTTGACTAGTTGACAAGTTGCGAATTTCTGGCATATCACAATCAAACATAGTAGGACTTTATTACATTAACGAAGACCAATTCTTGTAATCAAATGAATACATTTATACATCTATTACACAATAACAAATAATCAAACTGATAGATAAACTAATAACAATCCTTAAGATCACAATGCAACAAAGTTCTAACGACAATTTAGATTAAATTTCTAAAACTGATTTGCACACAATTTTACCATACAACAATTACGTACATCATCAACATTATTGTTATACTATACATAGTAACACCTTGCATTGTCCATAATTAATTAGTAGAATTACTATATCCAGCTTGATAATTCTTGTTATTATCGCGGTCTTTACCACATGCCCACAAAGCATAAGAAATTAGACCAAAAACAGTTGTAATGAGGCACCAAGATGCAGCACCTAGGTTCATTTGCTTCATGCTAATGAAGCAACTTCCACCATTAGCGCGTAAAGAATGATGTTTTACGAGAAATTTGTGGTTGTTGACGACTGCTGTGTACATCAGTCCTATGAATGCTATAGAAAATGCTAACCTGCATGCATTTACCATAAAAAAATATGTTTAGTAATTTCATAATATAAATAATAATTATTATTTAATGATATTGTTACATATATATACCAGGAAAAAATGAAGAAAAATATAGAGATAATAGCAGTGCATTTTGATGAACAACGTGCTCCACGACAGCAAAAGCATCCCATGCCAACACTTATAGTAATTTGTTCAGCCAGAAGAGCTATTGCAGCTATCAAAGCTAGATACCACACTTAGGGGTGTCCATTATTCGGATATAAATCGAAATACAATCCAATCCAAACCGAATTATTAATTCGGATCAGATTCGAACTTTAATTTGAATTGGATCGGATTGAATTTATTAGAAAATTCGGATTTTTGGATCGGATCGGATCGGATTGGCCTTGTTTGGATCCAAAAAACCAAAATAACCGAAATGTGAAACCGTTATTTTATAAATAAGGATTGTAAATGTTAATCATGTTAAATTTTATTTATAATTACAATAAAATTAATCATGCAAAACTATGTTTTCAATACTTATATCAATCATGTATAACTATGCTTTTAAAAATTGAATTTTTATAATTGCATTTTTATTTTTATAATTGCATTAGGCCCAAAAAATTTGCATCGTATTTTAATTCGGATTTCCGGATTGGATCCAAATAACCGAATTATAATTCAGATTGGATCGGATTGGATTTGGTGAGGAATTCGGATCGGATTGGATTTGATAATTGAAAACCAAATTTTATTTCGGATTGGATTGGATTGGATTTGGGCTAAATCCAAACCAAAAACCGAATGGACACCCCTAACCACGTTGAACTGCTTGGATATTCGCAAACTCCGTTAAAGTCGGTAGCTTCCTCACTCTGCTCAAGAGAACAAGCCAATGAGTTTGAGTGGTCGTTTGATTAACATTACAAGTAAACATGTACACATGAAACCCATTGTATATGTATTACTCAATTAGAGAATTGTACACTTATACCATAACTTGCAATTGTGATGTTTGGTGGACAAAAACACGCAAAATCGCGAAATTTGAATTTCTCAAACATTTTAATCTTACGCTAAAATAGGAAAGTTGCTTAATAGTTAATTTGACTTTAATACTCTTGCACGGAGTAGTATAGTGAGTAGAATTAAGAAGCTAAAAATTCTCATTTTAACTACGCAACATTACAATATAAAGTATGTACTATTTGTCTATTTACAATTACTTACTTTGAACAATTTTTTTTTTTAATACTAGTCATTGGAGCGTACGCATCATTACTCACTTTGAACATATTTTTTGTTAATACTAGTCATTGGAGTGTGCGCAATACGCACGCCCTCTCGACAGTACGATGATTTAGTTGGGTAATTAATCTAGTGCTTTTAACTATGATGCTTGTTTTGTGCTTAATTTGTGTTTTTGCATTGTATATATTATTGGGAGCTCTATGGAAAAATGAAGTGCATGCATGACGTTTAAATATGTGGTATATGAAATGGGTGTTTTTTTTAGTATTTGTAGGGAACTTATAGTAGAATTAGGTTGGTTTTAGTTTAAGTGTTGAATTCACACCTTATTTTCAGCTTACATTTGAATTACCAGCTGTAATATAATTGGTGTCACATAAATATTTAAGGTGTAATTGCTGAAATGGCAAGTTATGTTGGAAAAACTAATTTGCTATTTATTATAAAGGAGTTTTTGAATTGAATTCTTCAACTGTAATTGTTAGTAAAAATAGGATATAAATTTTTTAGTCAAAATAGATGGAGGAATATTATCATGTTTTAATTGTATTTAGATTTAACTGAAAATTAAGTTGAACTAGGTTAGGTCCCGTGCCATGCACGGTAATTTTCAATGACTACTCTATAATATTAACACTATATTTAATTATAAAAAAAAAAAATCTATGTAAGTTACTACTTTGTAAAATGAATTAATTATGAAAGAGTCTATTATTAGCAAAATAGATAATTTAAAATACACACATATGTATATTTATATATATTTCACTAACTAATTTATATCATTTTTTCTTTTAACCAAATGAATATCTTACAACTATGTATTTAATTCGTAATAGATTTACTTTTTACACAATATTAATTCATTCCCTCTTACGCGGTATTTATTTTTCTTCTCAATAATCAACTGGCTTAGAAAAAAATTCATATTTTTCCTAGCAAGCTTTTCAAACATAATTAAATACAAAAATATTTTTTAAAAAAATAATCATTGTTGTAATAACGGTAAGAGTAATATATAGCACTATGTATGTCACAAATTATGTTAAGAATTTGATTTTCATTTTTTTAACTTTAGCTTATGGTATCAATATATATAGTGGAAGGATACATTAAATCTTTTTAATCTTCTATTTATATATAAGATTTGTTTTCTAAATAGGTTTTTTTTTTTTTTTTTTTTGGACACACCAGAAAATGACGCGTGTCATTTCTGGTGTGTCTTTTAGTATATAGTAACTAGTTTAGGTCCCGTGCCAAGCACGTTAATTTTTAATGCTATTATCAATTTACAACTATTTTAACCAATGTAAAAAATATTGTCAAAAATTAGTGTGAATTAAACTATCGAAACAATTACTAAAATGAAACATAGTCATGAAAAAACCGATTAGCTAAATATGTACTTTAAAGTTTAAGCATTTGAGCATATGGTTATGTTATGTATTTTGGTTTGCTATTGTTAAAGTGTTATTTTTCTTGTTAACTAAATGTAAAATTTTAAAGTTATGTACTAACCTTGCGAATAAATTTTCTTTGCACACACTATTAAAATCACTCTATTATTTCATCCAAAACTGTACAACCTAAAATAATATTATTACATATCATTCCGACAACATATTATTTCTTATTCAACTTTTCTCCTCAGATGAACTCTAATTAGATATCAATATATTTTA